TTTAAAACACAATTTTCCTAAATTTTTCAAAAGAAATCAATTACTTAAATAGATTTTTATAAAACTTTAATTTTAATAATAATCGTTGCAAGAATTCAATTATTGTTGTTAAAACTCATTGAAGGAATTAAATTTATTTTAAAATTTATTTTATTTTTATAATTGAATTACTTTCAATATAATTGAGATAAATTTTTTTGAAAGAATTCAATTATTTTTATAAATAATATACAAGTTTCAAAGAAATTGAATTTTTAAAACACAATTTTCATAAAATTTTTTCAAAAAAATCTTTTCTTTAAAAACATTTTTTCAAAATTCTTTTCAAGAATTCAATTATTTAAAAAACTTTATTAAAGTTCGATGACAAAAATTCAATTATTTTCATAAATAATTAAACTCAACGCAAAATTTCAATTATTTTAAAAATAATTTTAAATTAATTCCACTAAAAACGCAATTATTCTTAAAAATTTTAATAAAATTCTTCGAAAAAATTCCATTATTTAAAGAAATTTGATATAATTTGTTTCTTAGAATGTAATAATTCTTTTTAATTACATTTTTTGAATGAATTTTATTATTATAAAAAATTTTAATGCAATTCTTCTTAAAAATCCAATTATTTAAAAAAATGTTAAAAATTAATTAAAAATCTTTTTAATTACATTTCTTGAATGAATTTTATTATTATAAAAAATTTTAATGCAATTCTTCTTGAATATCCAATTATTTTAAAAAATGTTGATAAAGTTCAATAAATTATTTATTTTTGCATTTAAATAATTGAATTCTAGTAGAACTTTCTAATAAGCATTGATTTAGAATTGAATAAAATAAAATGATTAAAGTTTTGAATAATTTTATTTATAAAATTTTAACAAAAAAAATGTTTGAATTTTAAAAAAATTACTTTTATAATTTTTAAAAATAATTAAATTTAAATAATGCGTTACATTGAAATCATTTGAAATATTTTAATTCCTGTAGACAATATAAATAGGTATTTAAATATTTATTTTAAAAAATTGTTCAATTTTTGAATGTAATTAAGAAATTATAAAAAAATTAAGTCAAGGTTAATTTTTTAATATTAAGCTACTTTTTTACTACTTTTTATGTCTTTAAGCTATATACTTTCTTAAAATTAATTATCGAGTGCGAAGCCTGTATTTTTTACAAATTTAAATTACGAGACTCTTTTTCACTAGACAGTTTTTCTAAGGATATCAAATTGAGACAAAAAAAGTATACTTTTTTTGTTGCAAAGCAACAATTTTGATACTTTTTTTGTCTCAATTTGATATCCTTAGAAAAACTGTGGGATAGTAATTATTAACATAGGAATATTAAGTATTAACTTTTAGGACAGTAATTATTACCTTCGAGTATTTTTAGATTTTGACAATATTTCCTTTTCTATTTCATTTCGAGGTAGACAAATATTTTCCGTCAGCATTCTGTCAATGGAAATAATTTCCTCTTGCTTTATTATAAATAGAAGCATTTTTATAATCGCTCCAAAAAGACTGATAAATGCTAGCAGACTTTCCGTTAATAAATTGACGTTTTCCGAAAATATTAACGTGTCAATAAATATATAGATTTCAGATAATATTAAGATTATCAGAATGAAACAACTATAAAATCTGTACAGTTGTTTGGAAAAATTTGAAATTAATTTCTTCGGTCGCCAACCACCGATTATGACCAGATGAGATATTGCTCGATCAGCTACATTCATTTTTCTTTTGATGATTTTTCTTTTGATTTTACAAATACAATTTTCTTGCTTTCATTTTTAGTGATTTTCAAACTACAAATTTCACTAGAGTAAAAATCGATTAGTTTTGCAATGAAGAAATTTTTTTTAAATGAAGATATAGATGAGGATTTACTTACATGTGAAGAGGAAGAGTTCTGAAGTACAACTAAGGCGTATTTTTTTCAGATATTAATTGTGCTGCAAATATATTTGTATTGGGAGCAAACATGTTTATAATTAGAGGGATATTCTTCTATAGTGACTTCCAGGGAATATTGTTCTTTTATTTTTTCTGTTATTGGCTCATTAATAATTCTCGAATGATGATAAAATAGCTATAAAAATTTTGATCGTAATGATTTACTAAACTATTATTTTTTGTTTGAATAAAAAACCGATTGTTACCTAATTATTCGTGAATTTATTATCGTACATCGTATTAAATTCAAACATCTTATTTTCGGTATACTTTTAGAATATTAAGATGCATTTTTTCGCATAATATTTAAAAAATACATTTTTATTCGAAAAAGAAAATAATTTTTGTATTCGTTCGTATTTAATTTATTTAAACTTAATTTTAAATATCGACGTAATTAAATTTTTTTTTTATTTTGAATTCTTTTTTTTAAATAAAAAAGATATGTGTGGAATTTAGAAATAAATGACATGTAAATATATTAAAATATTAATATAGACATATAAAGCGAAATTGATGAAAGTTGATTAAAATAATACTTCTCATCAATCATTTGCGAATTTCTAGCTGTAGTCTGACATAACTGACTTTTACTACTGCGATCGCAGGATGAATTTTTTTCCTACTTTATAATCTACTTTATTTCTCACACTCGCTTGTTTAAATTGAAATTTTTTTTTCTCTTTTGGCAATGACGTCTTTGAGTTTTGATAAGAATCATCGAGACATTGTTGCACTTTTAAGAATATAGGGTACTTTCACCGGTGCTTGTTTGTCTACTGTTAAAAATTAATCGGGTCACATTGTCTCAACATTATTTATAATAAATAATTTCTAATAAATAATTGTAAATCTTTCAATTTTTTGGAATTAAAGATATTAGTTTGAATTTTTTTTAAATTAAAAACTTTTTTTCCTTAATTAACTTTTTATGTAAAATATGGTATTGTAATCATAGTTACCATAAAAGTAATAAAATAATAAATAATATTACCAAAGGGCCTGTCCTGTTAATTTTCAAATAAATAAATATAAAAATAATAATTCATTAATTTTTATAAACAAAAAAATTTCAACAACAATTCAATTATTTAAAATAGAATTTTTCTAATATTTTTCGAAAAAAATCAATTATTTTAGTAGATTTTTATAAAATTCTTCTCAAGAATTCAATTATTTTAATAGATTTTTTTTATAAAATTCTTCGCAAGAATTCAATTATTTTAATAGATTTTTAAAAAATTCTTCGCAAGAATTCAATTATTTTTATAAATAACAAAATTCTTCTCAGAAATTCAATTAATTAAAAATTTTTTAATAATAATCGTTGCAAAAATTCAATTAATTTTATAAATATTAAAACTCATTGCAGGATTTCAATTATTTTTAATACAATTTTAAATAAATTACACGAAAAATATTCTTAAAGAATTTAATAAAATTGTTTGAAAGAATTCAATTATTTAAAACAAAATTTAATAAAATTTTTGGAAAGAATTCATTATTCAATTATTTAAAAAAATTTAATTTTAATTCCTTGAAAAAATCAATTATAAAAAAAATGTTTTTTTTTTGTAATTCTTTGGAAGAATTCATTTATTTATAAAAATATTCAAATTTTTATTTACAGGAATTCAATTATTTTCAAATATTTTAATATAATTGTTCGTAAGAAATCAATTATTTTAAGTACAAATTTAATTAAATTTTTTTGAAATAATTCAATTATTATTCTCTTAGATTTTAATAAAATTCTTCCCAATAATTTACTTATTTACATAAATAATTCTCAAAAAAATTTAATTATGTCGATAAAAAACAAAATTATTCCAGAAAATTCAATTATATTGAAGCATTTTAATAAAATTCTTTGCAAAATTTAATTATTTTTATAAATAACAATATTCATCACAAAAATTCAATTATTTTTAAAAGTAATAAAATTCTTCTTGGAAATTCAATTATTTTTAAAAGTAATAAATTTCTTCTTGGAAATTCAATTATTTTTAAAAGTAACAAATTTCTTCTTGGAAATTCAATTATTTTAAAAATTCTAATAAAATATTTCTCAAGAATTCAATTATATTCATAAATAATAAAATACTATTTAGGAATTCAATTATTTTCAAAAAAATTTAATAAAATACATTCCGCTAAAAACGCAATTATTCTTAAAAAATTGAATAAAATTTTTCGAAAAATTCAATTATTTAAAGAAATTTGATATAATTTCTTTCTTAGAGTGTAATAATTAATTTTAATTTATTTTTAATGTCAATTCTAGACTGAATTTAATTATTAAAAATCTTAATGCAATTCTTCTTAAAAATTCAATTATTTTAAAAAATGTTGATAAAGTTCAATAAATCAAAAATAATAAATAATATTACTAAATGGACTGTCCCGTTAATTTTCAAAGAAATAAATGAATATAAAAATAATGAAAAAAGTATTTTATAAAAAATATTTCTTTTCGAGTTAGATAGTTTTTTGAACATAAAGTATATTTTATAAAGTATAATTTTTAATATAAAGTATATTTTATAAAATATAATCTTTAACATAAAGTATATTTTTTGAATATATTAAATTACAGTGGAACCTGTCGGAATGCAACTCGATTCTTAAAATTTTATTACAGGAAAGAATCCTTAAAAAATTGTTTTTTAATTTAATTTTGTAATATTTTTACAATATTCTGTAATTGAGTGAAAATAATTCTTGTTGGACATTTTTGTGTACAAAGAAATTTTTAAATAGAGTTGCATTCTGACAGGTTCTACTGTAAAGAATTAAACTTTTAATTAAAAGGAAATACACATCTAACTTTTATTTAAAATTTTAAAAAATTCAAGAGAAAAAATTTTAGTCGAACACTTTTTTTAATATCACAATTTTTTAATACAATATTTATATATTTATTGACTTCAGCAGAAAATATTTATCGCAGATATAATTTATTTCGAAGATTTTCGCTTAATATTACAAAGTAATTAACCATTCGCAAATATTTATTTAGATTTGTATAACAATAGATGTAGATTTGTAACAAAGATGAAAATATTTATCGCATCTCAATTCTCAACGATTCTCTCGTAGAACGTTAAAAATTGAATATGCAACTTTTAAAATCTGAAAATAAAAATTCATTGTATAATATTTGACGCTTTTATGAAATTAACTTCATTTTGAAAATGGTTTTTAATAATTTAAATTTACCGCAACAAACGAGCCAATAGACATTGTTATCATAGATCCTCCTTTCACTTTCATTGGTTTTGAAGCTCGGATCATTATAATATATAATGACATTTTTGAATTTTTGCTTAATTTATTCCAATTTACATTGTAACAAGCGTTTACGATTTCTGAGCTCTGTAAATAGGAAGAAAAATTATACTTTTTTTGAACAAAAAGTAAATAAATAACAAAAATGACATGAAAAAGAAAAATAGCAATTCTTTTTAGAAAAAACTTTTAGAAAAGACTTTTAGAAAAAAATATACTTTTAACAAGAGCTCTTCTCTAAATTTTTTATTTAAAGCAAATAAATAATTCAGTAGGCTCTGTGAAAACTTTTATTTAACTCAAATAAATTATAGTTGGATTTAATGAAATATCTTTGATCGAAAAACATGCTATTCAATTTTCAATACGGATATTTCTAATCAAAAGCATTAAATTAAAATGCATTAAATTGAAATGTGACATTTAATTGCTTGTAATGGATTAAAATTGTAATTTGATTGTTGTTAAAAAAGGTTTTTTTTAAGTTTGTTTAGCAATTAAATATTTTTCGATTAATTTACCTTGACAATTAGTTTCTCTCCATAATAACAAAATTGAAAGATTTCCCAAGTAAAATCAAGCAAATAGACGCATATATACCAAAAGTGTGTTGTAAATAGTTCAGCTTTTGCTAAATTAAAAATAGCTAAACCCAAGACAGCAGTAGATATGAAAAATTGAACAACACATAATAAATTGAATGAATTATTCAAATCGTGAATCATTCTGTGGAATGAGAATATTTTCAAGTTAATTATAATTTTGTTAAAAGCCTCGTGTTCTTAATCTTTATATTATTTTTCAATTTTTTAAAAATTTATACTTACTTGATTAAATGTAAATGAAAGTGTAGCCAATCTTTTATTATTGTTGATTCATATTGATTAATTTCTAATTTGTAATTTGTACTTATTTGTTGTGGTAAAATGTACAAACGATGTTTGAATACATCTATTTCAGCACTAATTTTCTCCATGAGTTCGGAAAAATAAAGATCACAGCAACAGAGGATAATAGTTGTAGCAAGAAGGACAATTACTTGATATAAATAAATAAATTGATAATATCTTGTACTTTCGAAATTAAGGGGGATCCATATACTAGGGAATGGTAGTGCTAATTTTTTAGAACTGATTAGAGGATTCAGGCAGAGGCAAATAGAGAAAAAGTAGCAGCCAATCATAAGTGCATTCGATTGCTTTCTGTAAATAAAATTTTTATTTTCAATACAGTGATATTTTACTAAAAATTACAATTATTATTAATTCTCCACTAAAACTTGAGTAAAAAATTAAAACTACTAAATGAAGTAATAAATTTTTAGTTAGAATTGGTAGAAATTAGTTAGAATTGATAATTTAAATTAATTTTAATTTAATAAGTTAAATTTGTGGATGAATTTTTTCTTAATTAATTTTAAAAGTACAAAAATGGTACACACCTTCGAGTATTTTCGGATTCGGCTAATATTCCCTCTTCGATTTTATCTCGAGGTAGACATATTTTTTCCGTCAGCATTCTGTCAACGGAAATAATTTCTTCTTGTCTTATTATAAAGAGGAGCATTTTTAAAATTGCCCCAAGAATGCCAAATAGTACTAGTAAGCTCTCCGTTAATGAATTAACATTTGTTGAAAATTTGAAAATGTAAACAAGAATGTAGATTGCAGATAACGTTAGGATTGTAAAAATAAAACAACTGTACAGTCTGTACAATTGTTTTGAAAAATTTGAAATTTTCTTCGGTCTCCAAGTACCGACTAAACCGAGATGTGATATTGCACGTTTAGCCACATTCATTTTTATCGAATAATTTTTTTTTCTATATGTATTTCTACAAATGCAGTTTTTTCACTTTCATTTTTAGGATTTTCTGTAAATTAAAATTGAGTTTTATTACCATTTAGTGTTATTTATATTTATAATTTATTGTAGTTTATAATAAGTATTTGAATTAATAATCTTTGGATTAATAATCTATGTAATTATTAGTATAATTTTAGGTGAAAATGAAATTTTTGCAAATGAGAAATTGAGGGTTTAGATTTACTCACATGTGAAGAGGAAGACTTCTGAAACACAACTAAAATTATCCGTGCAGAAAATGAATTTGTTTATATTAGAAACAAATAGAAGAGAAGTTAAAATACATTTTCTTCTATTTGTAGCTTGAGGGCTATTAACCCATATTAACGATCCAATTTATGTTTAATTATGTTTTTATAATGGGGGATACCCAAAAGCAGTGTGTATCTTTCTGACCTCCCTCGATGATTAATCTATTCTATTTTTCGAATCAATGATGTATAGGATAATATTATTTTATTGACAGTTAATTAATGATGCACCAGTGGATGTGAATTTTATAATAGGGGATTATTATTATTAGTTATTATGTTTGTGGGTAAAATATTGCCTTTATTCTACTACCTGTAGGAATAATGCATTATTCACGTGGTGAAGTATGTATTACTGTTTAAAAGAAATGATTTGAATCTCTTATTGACAGGAGTCAATGTGCGCATAAAGTATTGTGATTATATACTCTTTGGCAAATGGCCACTTTATGATGTCGTCGTTTCAAATTTCTTCTGTTATAAACACTTCATTTTGGGACCTGCATTGATATTGTGCAATCATAAATTATTATATTTTCGCCTCCGGTTCAAAAATTCAATACTTTTCTTATTATTCTTAGCCAAAGTTTTTTTTAAGGATAGCAAATTGGGACAAAAAGCGGAGCAAAACGCTGATTCGCAACAATTTTGATGCGATTTTTGTCTCCAATTTGATATCTGCAGAAAAACTGTGAAACATTGCTTCGGAATCTTCAAATTTTTAAATTTTAGAAAAAATTATAATTAAAATCAGAAGAATTTTTTTGGACTAGTTTAAAGGTTTCTGAAGATAAATAAGAATCGTTTGAAGATTTGTCGTTTCAATCATCTGACAGCAATGAATTCAATATCAATTTGATGTCAATTTGATGTCAATTCGGTATTTATTTAATTTGGCATTAATTCAATTTGGCATCAATTTAAGATCAACTTGGTACGAATATCTACTTGATACCAACAAAAAAAAAAACAATGCCGACATTGAATACCATTAGTTTTGCTTTAATTCAATTTTTTCGTACTACACAAACCCTTTTTTTTCTTTTTTCTTCAGAGACTTTATTTTCATTGAGAGGCGAGTCTGTGTTTCTGCCCACAATATATGTACGTATAATGGACATTTGTATCGGATATTGAATTTCACTGGTGGCACTTGAAATTTATCGCGATTGTGTGGCTGAGTTCACGTAAAGACGGTAGTTACCGGATTCGTATCAAGGACACCCGGTGTGCTTGTATTTATTTTATTATTATTATTGTTATTATTATTAGTATATATCGTTGCTTCTCTCGAAGACAAAATATGTAGAAAGTGGGCCGTGTTTGTCGATTAATGCGATTATATGCTAATTGAGAATTCTCTTGTGACTCAACAATTTTTTTTTTCTTTCCACGGATTCTTTTTCTTCTTGTATTTTTAGAGGTTGTAATGCATCATTTGTGTTTCTTATCTCTTTGATTTTTTTTGTAAGGTCCTACGGTGTTTATCTTGTCTCATTAAAAATTTGTTGTGCACCTTTTGCAAAATCGGAATTGTCTGTATTGTTAGTGATTTTTTTTTTGTGATTCTAGTTGAGGATTATTTCGAACCATTATTTTGGATAATGGAAAATAAATAAATACTATACGGAGAAAAATGTGAGTAATTTTTACTACTTTTATGGTAAAACATTTCTGGTAACTTTTACCAGAAAGTACTTTTACTTTTTTTTATAGTGTCGGAGTAAAGTTTGCTACGTTCGGAGTAAATGCTACGTTCAAAGAAGATGTTTGTAAAAATTAGTAAAATTTATTTCGAACGTAGTAAAATTTACTTCGAATGTAGCAAAATTTAAGTATGTAAAAGTTACCAGAAATGCTTTAAGAGAATTGTTTTATTATAAAAGTATAGTAAAAGTTACTTTATATTTACTTAGTAATGAAACTTTGAGATTAAGGACCACTCCGAGTCATTCGACTCGGAGTGGTCCTTAATCTCAAAGTTTTATTTACTATTCTTAATAATGATTTGTACGATTATTAATATTCTACTGTAAATCTTTGGGGAAAAAAATACAGAAATGAAACCACTGAATATTTCATTCACACAAGGAGTTTTTTTATTTACAAGAAACAATTTACACGATTCCATTCTATAGTTGAGGCTAAGAACCAAGGGTCTAATATACAAAAAAAGTGAACATTAGTATTTAAATGTTGAAACTTTTTACAAATGGTATGCAGCGGGTGAGGCGTAGTGAGCGTTGACGAGAGCTGGAGCAGCGGCGACGGTTTTCACGGCAACTTGAGCTGGTTCCTTGTGGACGACGGCATTGAAACCGTTGTGCTCGTCAGCGGTGTATTCGACGATGCGACGGGTGCCGTCGGGCTCGACGAGACTGTAACTTCCCTGCACGACGTCTCCATTACGAGATTCCTGTTGGGTTTTTGAGTCGCCGGTCAAAGCGTCTTGCACGTCGTAGGCGTAGCTGTATTGTGGGTTGGGGTCGTATTCGGCGTCGACGGTTTTCACGACTTTGGCGACTGGAGCTGCGGCGTACGCCACTGGGGCGTATGCGTGAGCGACTGGAGCTGCGTGCGCAACTTGGACATGCGCGGCGGGTGCGGCGTACGCCACTGGTTGAGCGGCGTAGGACAACGCTGGCTGAGCAGCGTAGGAGACTGCGGGCTGCGCGGCGTAGGCCAATTTGGCAACTGGTGCCGCCGCCACTGGTGACGCGTATTGGATCGCGCCTGGAGCGCCAATGAAGCCGGCGCGCGCCGTTGCTACCATCGCGACGAAAGCGAGGAACTGCAAAAGAAAAAAGGAATTTAATTACATTTCTTTCTTTTCTGCTCTGCGCAAAGAAGTATCTTAAAAGCGACTACAAACTTACTTTTAAGATACTTAATTACAGTGTTTTTCTTTTTAGTTTCTTCATTTGTTTCTTCCTTTGATTTTGATTACTTCTTTCTCTTATTTCTTAGCCTCGTTTTATCAAAGTGGGCGAAAGAAACTACAAATAATAATAATTTCTTCACTTGAAGAGTGTTTTAATTTTTAATCACCGCTTTTACGATTTCAAGTTTGGAACTCGAGGTACAACTTATAAACGAGTATTTCGGCATTCGTTTTCACTTTTTTCGTTATAGCTTCAACGCACCTTCTAAGTAACAATTTATTAAGTTATACAATGAATTACGACACTTATCTGATTTTACTCTTCAATCTGGTTTGTAAACCTTATGGAAAATTATTTGTAATGCAACTTTGTTCAATTTTGTTTGAAATATAAGTTTCTTTGCGAAAACGAATATTAGTAACAAAGGAAGAAATAAGAAAACGAAACAAAAAAAAAATTCAAAAAGGAAATTACAAAAGCCACGGAGGATAAAAGGACCGAATTTCGAAAGAAGAAATGAACAGATGATTAATGGAATTATAATAAAACCCTGTTCTGAATGGGAATAAAAATAGTTAATGGAAATAAAAATACTTCATAGAAGTATAAATAATTAATAGGTATAAAAATTAAAAAAGAGAGAGAGGGCAGAGAAGAGAGAGAAGAAAAGAGAAGGGGAGAAGAAAAAAGAAATAAGAGAAGAAAGAGAGTGAAGAAAAGAGAAGTGAGAATAGAAGAGAGAGAGAAGAAAAAAGAAGGTGAAGAAAAGAGAAAGAAGAAAAAAAAGAAAGACAGTGAAGAAAAGAGAAAGACGGTGAAGAAAAGAGAAGGGAAAGAAGAAAGGAGAAGAGAGAAAGAAGAAAAGAGAAAGACAGTGAAGAAAAGAGGAGAAATGAGACGAATAATTATCTCACCTTGAATGCCATGACTGCGGTTGTGTTATGAGCTTTGTTAAGCCAAAGGATGCGAGCAGATCGAATGATGCTGTCTGGGTGACGAGCAACTCTTTTTATATGAGTTCTCCCCATTATTGGGTGATCCCGGAGGCGAGGAATAATCGTGTGACGATAACCCTCAGGATTGAAGCGGAAAGTCTGTCGTAATCGCTGGACCAATTCAGTTGAGGGGCAATATACAAACACCAAAGCACCACGCCCTACATACATGCATACATACATATACTCGACGCAGCATATTTCAGCCAAAAACGAGACACCTGATCCACTTTTACGCAGGTCACTTATACACGTAACACATACGAGATAACTCGTTATGTTGTCCTCTTATGTAACTTTCACCCGCCGTTCTCATCTCATTACCTCACAATCATTTTCTTCTTTTTTGGAGTTTTTTCTTGTTTTTGGGGTTTTTTTTTTGCTTTTATTGTGCTTTCGTGTTGTGCTCGTCCTCGGTATTCTTCTCCTCTTACTCTTTGATACCCTGGACGATCTCATTTTATCCTCTTGTTTTTTATTCCCTTTTTTTGTTCTTTTTCATCTTTTTTGGCTTCTCTCATCTTTGTCTTCTTATTTTTGTTCTTTTTCCTCTTTCTCGGCTTCTCTCATCTTTGTCCTTTTTCATCTTTTGAGCCTCTCTCTCTATGCTTTTACTTTCATTCCCTTAATTTTAATTCTTCTTTCCTTTTATTGTTAGTGGCTCTCCAAACTTGAATTTGTTGACAACTTTTCGCTAAATGAACTAATTGTACTAAATTAGTAAAAAGTTTAACTAATTTTCGCCTTTTTTTTACACGAAAAAAAATTTTACCTGGAACAACTATAAGTTTCTCTAGAATAGCGAAAGTATTAATTAAAACAATGAAAAATTTCCATAATATACTGAAATTTGCAGTTGCTTCATGTCAACAATTTTTCCGTTATAACTTTATAAAATTAAAACAACTTTTTAAATTTTTATTCTTTTTCTTTTTTTTATGTGGATTCTCTTCTTATTCTCTAAATAATCAGAGAAATTTTCAATTCATTAGTTTAAATAAAAGTGATTAACAATAATTTTTTAAACTCATTTCAATTAGTGGTCGACTTTTCAGGGATTTATATTTGGAGAGGTATAAACACAATGTTTAATTATTTATAATTTTTTTCTACTTTCTAAATTTTAGTTAGTAAAAATGTTTACTAATTTAAATTAGTGACTGACTTTCTGCTTTCGAATTAGTAAACTTTACTAATAAAATTTTATTAATTTAAATAAATAAAAACTTTAATTAAATATACTTCACTAATTTATTAGAGAAATTTACTAATTTGAAAGCAAAAAATCAGTCAATTCAAATTAATAAATATTTTTACGAATTCGAATTAGAGGTCAAATGGTAACTAATTTAATAATTTAGAGAGTTCTTTTTATTGTTAGTTAAAATTTCTACTAATACTTAGTTTATTATAACATTTATTAATTATTTATTAATATTTATTAATTTATTAATTTACTTAATTAATTTTACTATTTCTTTTAGTATTTTTAGATTTATTACTAAAATTAGCGAAAAAGTTTTTTACAGAAGTTTTAGTAGAATTTTATTTAAAATAAGTACAAATTGTTACTATATTAAATTAACTGATGATTTTTGACTTATTTTAATTCATGAAAATTTCTACTAATTTTTAGTAAATTTTCATTAAAATTTGAGGAAAAAATTTTGAAACGACTAAGTAGTAAAATTTTACTAAAAATAAGTAGACAATTTTTTCTAATGTCAATTAGTAAACACTGATTCAAATTTAGAGAGCAAAGAATTAGTTTTAATATTAATTCACTGTCAGGCTTTTAAAATTTATTTTCTATTCAAATGAATTGAACACTTTTTTTCTAATTATGCATTTTTAATTAATTATAAAAAGTAATAGTAATAATGGTAGTAATTGCAATTGTAATGAGTTTTAATAATTGTTAGAATTTCAATAAGTTTAATAATGGTAATAATTTAAATAATTTTAATAGTTGTAGTAATTGTAATAATTTATTGTATTTATTTGTTTATTAATTAATTAAATAACAAAAAAGCAACAATTTTACTAAAGGCTTAATTTTATTAATTATAAATTTAAATAACATATTGAATATTATGGAAAACAATTGAAAAAACAAGAATAATGAAAGGAGTGTGAGTTACAAAATTAGATTTTGATCTTTATTTCCATCTTCAATGAAAGAGAATTTAAAATAATGTAATAGTAACTCATTATAGTGTCGAATTTGAAATTTATTGCATCATTATTTCATCATTTATTGTTCTCGTGTTTTCTAAAGTGTCAAGTCATATATAAAAATGTTAAACTTGCTGTTTAGCTGGAAATTAAATCTTTTTGTTATCCCTGCTCTGAAATATTTTTATTTCAATAATCAGCCTTCGAATTATTGTAAATAGAAGCATATCATTATTATTAGAGAGGGAGAAGAAAAGAATGAATTACACTCAGATTTATGAATATATATAAACTTGTTGAAATCAAAATTTGACTTTAGTTTAGAGCACGAAATTGACTAATAAACATTATCGTCTGGAGTTGAAACTTAACTCCCTTACTTTTCAGTATAAAAAATATTTTTTTTTGAAACAGTTGCACTGTAAAAAAAAGGGATTTTAATTAAATTAAACTTTAATTAAATTAAATAAAACTACAAATGGGATTTTATTAAATTCGCACCCTTCTGGAGTTAAAGCAAAAGCAGTAAAATTTTCCTCCTTGATATTAACTCCTTCACTATAAATGTAACTACGAAAAAACTCCCGAATAATAAACTCTTGTTTTTACTCCTAAAAAACTCGGAGTAGATTTTTAACTCGTGAACTTTACTCCCAACTCCCGATGCCATTTACCCCCATAATATTTTTACAGTGTAAAACTTATTCTTTTAAAAGAATAATTTTTACACTGTAAAAAATTTAATTAAATAATTATATCCTTTTTTAAATTAAAAATCAAATTTTTAAATTAAAAATCAAATTTTTAAATTAAAAATCAAGTTTTTTAATTAAAAATCAACTTAAGGCTGAAAAATGGAAGAGTTCTTTGGGGTTCCCCGCCCAAGGCTGCTGAAATTAATCAATTCGCAAAAAAGAGAACCTATTGAATCTTTCTATTATACATTTAGAAGCAATGAAGATAAATAAAGATAAAAGAGAATGATATGAGACATGTGGGGCCGATTTGTTACGTAATGCAAAATTTTGTAAGAAATATATTTCTCGACATCTTGTATATATGTTTATATACGAGAATATATAATGTGTAATTGTCATGTTCACGTGATGTAATGGTGTGAAGCAGTCTTATTACCTTTGAAAATTTCAAGCAAATGTCCCTCGGACGTAAAATTTTTTTAACGTTTGCTTCGTATAGATTTGTTAATTAAACTGACGCTCCTTCTTTTTGTTTCGTATTTTTCTTTTGTAATCCATATACATAATATATAAATAAATGCCTCTAGGGAAAATATAGTCATAGATTTGGCAATCGTGTGTTGGAAAAGAATATATCAAGTTAGGAGATGTTGATTTGAATTCATTTAGTTAGTTTCTTTCTTTCGAGATGGATCGATTTGTAAGTTTTTTAAAGTTGTCTAATATTATTTTATGTTAATTTTTTTGATTTTTCTGAGCACTACTTACAGGGTTGCCACAGGTCAGGGAATTCAGGGAAAAGTCAGGGATTTTTAATAAAAGTACTGGAAAAAATTAAATTTTTAAAATTCATGAAAAAACTCTGAATTTTGATGTTTTTTTTGTTTGCCTCGTAAACTATGAAATTACCACGAATTTTAATACAAAACCTTCAATTTTTTCTATTTCTGACAATAATTTCTTTTTAAATAATTTAATTTTTCAAAAACTATCATAAAATTATTACTTATAAATTATTTAATGAATAATTTCTACAATTTTCATAAATACTAGATTGATAGAAGAATTTCAGTTAAAAATACTAAAAAAAATTGAATTTTGGAAAAGTTACAAATGATTCCAGAAATTCAATTTTTTTCAAAAGTAATAAAAATTGTTCGCAGAAATTCAATTATTTACAAATTTTTAAATAAATTTCTTCGAAATAATTCAATTATTTTCATAAGTAATAAAATGTTCACAGGAATTCAATTATTTAAAATTAAAAATTTCATAAAATTTTCGAAAAATATCAATTATTTAAAAAGATTTTTATAAAATTCGTCGCAAGAAATCAATTATTTAAAAAAAATTTATAAAGTTCTTTTCAAGAATTCAATTATTTTTATAAAAAATAAAATTCTTCATCGAAATTCAATTATTTTTCTGAACTTGAATAAAATTCGATGCAAGAATTTAATTATTTGTATAAAATAAATAATTTAATTCTTCACCGAATTTCAATTATTTTTCTAAACTTGAATAAAATTCGTTGCAAGAATTCAATTATTTATAAAAATAATAAAATTTCAATTATGTTCAATGTTGTTCTTTCAATTATGTTCTTGGCAAAATTTCACAGGAATTGTATTTACAAAGTTTTTAATATATTTCTTCGAAATAATTCAATTATTTTCATAAGTAATAAAATTTTCATAGGAATTCAATTATTTAAAATTAAAAATTTCATAAATTTTTCAAAAAATATCAATTATTTAAAAAAATTTAATAAAGTTTTTTTCAACAATTTAATTATTTTTATGAATAATAAAATTCTTCACCTAAAATCAATTATTTTTATAAACATGAATAAAATTCGTTGCAAGAATTCAATTATTTATATAAATAATAAAATTCTTCGCAAAATTTCAATTATGTTTAAAAATTTAAAAAAAATTCTTGTCAAAATTTCAATTATCTTTATAAATAATCAAATTCTTCTTCGAAATTCAGTTATTTTTATAAACTTGAATAAAAATCGTTGCAAGAATTCAATGATTTATATAAATAATAAAATTCTTTACAGAAATTCAGTTATTTTTATAAACTTGAATAAAATTCGTTGCAAGAATTAAATTATTTTCAAAAGTAATAAAATTTTTCGCAAAAATTCAATTATGTTAAAAAATTAAAAAAAAATTCTTGTCCAAATTTTAAGTAGGTATCTTTATAAATAATAAAATTCTTCTCCGAAATTTAATTATTTTAGAAAAATTTTAATAAAATTCTTGAGAAAATTTTAATTATTTTCATAAATAATAAAACTCATCGCAGAATTTTAATTATTTTTGATACAATATTTTAATCAAATTCCTCGAAAAATGTAATTATTTTTAAAAATTTTATTAAAATTTGTCAAAAGAATTCAATTATTTAAAAGTTTGTTGATAAAATTCTTTATGAGAATTCAATTTTAACAAACATTCAATTATTCAATAAATTATTTATTTTATGATTTAAATAATTGAATTCTTCTAGAATTTTCTAGTAAAAATTGATTTAAAAATGAATTACCGAATAATCGATTTATTATTTATGAAAATAATTGAATTATTGCAACGAATTTTATTAGATTTTTTTAAATAATTTAATTTTTTTTAGAGAAATTTTACTACTTATAAAAATAACTGAATTCTTGCGAAGGATTTTATTAGGATTTTTGTAAATAATTAACTTTTTTTTGAAAAATTTTATGGTAATTTAAATTATTACAAGTTGTTGAATTTCAAAAAGTTTTTAATTTGAATGTTTTGAAAAATTTTAATTCCTTCAGAAAAATAATAATGCATAAATATTTATTTAAAAAAGAAGTTATTGATGTTTTTGAATAATTTTACAATTAAAGAAATTTGTAAATAAATGTAATAGAACATATTTTTGAGTATCTATAATAATTTTTAGAGTGAATTAGAATATTCATTATAAGGTTATCAGGGAAAAAGTGGAAATTTTGTCTGGAAATCAGGGAAAAGTTAGGAAAAAATAAAATAAAATATTTGTGGCAACCCTCTTTCCTATGAGTAAGCTTCTCTTATTTGTTAATTTGCTGAAATTTTTTTATTCAAATTTTTTCCAATTCTGAATTTGAAAACGATTTTTTTTGTAGATTTTGAGCCTACTTTCTTTGCATTTGATGACTGCTAATAATGTTCTGGCGGGGGTAATTGTCACACCGACATTAATTGGCGACACTTACATTCAACCTGGTTTGTCTTCGATTGCAAGAATTCCCATTCAAATTCCAAGTTACAGTAATTCGGGATTGTATCTTCTGAATGTTGACAAAACCTCGAGTGATGCTTTTGAAAATATTAAATTACACGGTTCTTCTGCGGATGAAACAATAATTAATCGTGCAGCATTAAATAGTGAGGAAATGCTTCCTCCTGGATATGTTTCCCTGGCTGGGAAAATTAATACTCCTCCTGGTTACAGCATCACAAATGAGCAAAAGAATTTTCAAAAATATTTAAACTATTTTATTGTTTAATTGTATTTTATTACTTTTAAAATATTGTACAGTGTTCTTTAATAAATATTTTATTTATTAAAATTGTTTTACAAAGGTTTATTATAATTCGTACCAAAAAAATGTATATCACTATTGTTTTATTATTAATTATTATTATTAATTATTATTAATTATGACAATTAAATTGACATGACAATTTTGATAAGACTTTATTAATACAATATTAATAATTGTACTCTCTAAATTCGAATTAGTAAAAATGTTAACTGATTTGAAGTAGTCACTGACTTTTCGCTTTTGAATTAGTAAACTTTACTAATAAATAGTAATTTCTACAAAATTAATAAAATTAATAATAAATTAATTAATTAAATTTATTATTTAAATAAATTAAGTTTAATAAAGTAAATTTTATTAATTTTGTAGAAATTATTATTTATTAGTAAAGTTTACTAATTCAAAAGCAAAAAGTCAGTCACTTTTTCAAATGAGTAAAAATGTTTACTGATTAAAATTTAGAGAGATAATTTCATTTTTAAATTCATGGTAATAATTATTATCAGTAGGAATGAATAAATTGTGGTGGTGAACGATGATAGTATCCAAAGCGTCCAAGTAGAAGACGTAAAGGTGTAAGATGTGAAAATAGAAAAGGTTTTTTGCGTACAATTATTTTTAAATTATTTAATGGTTTGACAATGTACTTAATACCGTGAGTTTCGTCGATTATAATATAACTACCACTGAAAGCATTTTCTTCTGTTGGAAATTCTGAAATTTCCTTATTTACTGGATTTGCAGTATTTGGAATATTTTGAAATGCATTTTCCGGTCTCGAAATAACCGGAGGGAATGACACTGGACCAAGTGCAGCCTCCTGTTCATTCTCATAATTTGGAATTATTATACTTTTCGCGCTGGCAAAAAGTATACTGATGGCTAAAATCTGCAAAAGAGATTTAAAAATTCAATCATTAGGGTGGGAATTCAAAATTTCTTTAAAAATTAATTGGATAATTAATTATATTGGCATTTTAGTTTAATAAATTATTGGAATTAGTGCGACTAAAATACTACCTTTGTGTATAATTGATTGGACATTATTTCATAATCAAAGGATTATAGTAAAAATTCAAAAATTAAGGAGGAAATAAAATACTTCCTCTATGAGGAAGCAATAAAAAAATAAATGAAAAATAAAATCAAAGATAAAATGAAAAATAAAATAAACTAGAAAAAAAGAGGAGAGAAATAAAGAATAAATAAAATAAAAAATAAGTTAAAGAAATAAAAAATAAATAAATAAAAGAAATTAAAAATAAATTAAAAATACAAATAAAAATAAAATGAAAAGTTTTCTACTTATAATTAGAATTACGAGAATTTAAACGATGTCTGACTATAACTTACTTTTACTACTGAGATCTACTTGCAGCAAATTTAGTACATTTTCTTTCGGTATGAAAACTGGAATTAATTTTTTTTGACAATAATTGAATAAGGTGCAAAATAATATGTTTATTCAACTTTTTATTTTACAAAATTTCTGTTAAATTATTAATTTCAAAAGTTTCAATTTTTTTAAAATTTATCTCTATTTGATCGGATATCTATTCAATTGAATGAATTTATATTTCTCTGGAATTCAAATTTTTTAAACTTTAATGAAATTAAAATTTTATTTGGTGCTAAGACGTAGCAAAAATTGTACTAAAATTTAACATTTTCTATAATAAATATTTCTTCCAAATAAATTTATTTTTGGAAATTTGGAGAAATTAAACATTTGACAATTTGAATTGGTGACAGACTTTTTGTTTTTGAATAAGATACGTTTGCAAATAAATTAGTAAAAATTATTAAGTTAATTACAATTTTAATTAAAGTTAATGATTAAATAAATTATTTTAAAAATTTTAATAAAGTTACTGAAGAAAATTCAAAAAATTTTAATAAAGTTCTTTAAAACGATTCAATTATTTTCACAAATTTTTCGCAATTCAATGATTTTTAATACCTACTATTTTAATAAACAATTTCCCAAAGAATTGAATAATTGAAAAAAAAATGTTTATAAAATTCTTCGCAAACATTCAATTATTTTCATAATTAAAACACTTTTTACTGGAATTAAATTATTTAAAACAGAATTTTCCTACAATTTTTCAAAAAAAAAAAATCAATTATTTAAATAGATTTTTATAAAATTCTTCGCAAGAATTCAACTATTTTTATAAATAATAAAATTCTTTTCAAGAAATCAATTATTTTTTTAAATTTTAATGATAAGCGTGGCGAAAATTCGATTATTTTTATAAATATTGAAACTCATTGCAGGATTTCAATTATTTTTAATACAATTTTAAATGAATTTCGCCAAAAATTCATTTATTTTTAAAAAGTTTAATTAAATTCTAAGTAAAATTTTATAAAATTTTTCGAAAAATATCAATTATTTAAAAAGATTTTTATAAAATTCGTCGCAAAAATCAATTATTTAACAAAATTCAACAAAGTTCTTTTCAAGAATTCAATTATTTTTATAAATAATAAAATTCTTCATCGAAATTAAATTATTTTTTTAAACTTGAATAAAATTCGTTGGAAGAATTCAATTATTTTCAAAAGTTATAAAAATTCTTCGCAGAATTTCAATTATGTTAAAAAATAAAAAAAAAATTCTCGTAAAAACTTCAATTATCTTTTTAAATAGTAAAATTCGCAGGAATTCAATTATTTTTAAAAATTTAATAAAATCGTTGCAAGAATTCAATTATTTTCATAAATAAAAATTTTCACAAAAATTCTATTATTTAAAATAGAATTTTTCTAATATTTTTCAAAAAAAAATCAATTATTTAAATAGATTTTTATAAAATTTTAATTTTAATAATAATCGTTGCAAGAATTCAATTATTTTTATAAATATTAAAACTCATTACAGAATTTGGATTATTTTTAATTCAATTTTAACTGAATTCCGCAAAAAATGCAATTATTCTTAAAAATTCGAATAAAATTCTTCGAAAAAATTCAATTATTTAAAAAAATTTGATATAATTTGTTTCTTAGAGTGTAATAATTATTTTCAATTTACATTTAATTACATTTCTTGAATGAATTTAATTATTATCAAATATTCTAATGTAATTCTTCGTAAAAATTCAATTATTTTAAAAAATGTTGATAAAGTTCTTCATAAGAATTCAAATTTAAGAAATATTCACAATTATTCAATAAATTTATTTTTGTATTCAAATAATTGAATCTTTGTAGAATATTTTAATAAGAATTGATTTAGAATTGAATAAAATAAAATGATTGAAGTTTTAAATAATTTTTTTTATGAATTTTAACAAAAAAAATTCACTGAATTTTGAAAAAATTACTTTTTTAATTTTTAGAAATAGTTAAATTTTAAAAATTCGTTACATTAAAATCATTTGAAATATTTTCATTCCTGGAGACAAAAGAAATAGGCGTTTAAATATTTATTTTAAAAAATGATTGTATTTTTGAATGTAATTAAGAAAATATAAAAAAATTGTGTCAAGTTTAATTTTTTGTTAGCTAATTTTTTACTACTTTTTTCTGTCTTGAAGATACTTTTTTCTACTCTCTCAATTTGAATAAGTAAAAGTTTTTACTAATTTGAATTTAGTAAATATTCTTATTAATTCAAATTTAGAGAGTATTTTTTTTAAAATTAATTATCGAGTATACAAAGCCTTTAATTCAAAAAATTATTATATTTAAGGCGAAAAGTTAAGCGAAAGCTAAACTTTTCGCCTTAAATATAATAATTTTTTGAATTAATAATATATATTATTTAGAATCAAATAAAATTTACCTAATTAAACATATTTTCTAATAAAATCAATTCAGAAAATTGAATAGAATTTTAATATAAAGCAGAAATAAAATAAAGTAAATAAATAACGTGAATAAAGTAGAATATTTCAAACGTTAATTATCGCACACAATCATTAACAAAGATCAGAAAATAATGAAAAATACCTGTATTTTCATGATGACACTCAACTAAAGGCTTGAAACTTGAATTGTCCCGGAGTTTTTCTGACAAATGTTATATAGCCCCCCCGGCAATTTGGTATCTGATGTTGTGTTAGCTTTGTGTGTAACTTGAAGATATGCGAAAAAAAGTTATGATATATTGCCATGATATGGTCGTTGATCATTTAATTTTTCGTCGAGAATAATTCTGTGTTTTTTTTAAAAATTTTTTTTTCTTTTTTCTAAGAGAGAATGATGTTTTAAATAAGCCGCGAAAACATACCTCAAGGTCTCAAAGGGGATGAAGGGTCAGTTAAAAATTTATACGCCGGATACGACAAACTACGCGCGCGCGCGCGGAAGATAAAAGTATAACCGTGAAAGAAGGTCGTTTCGCAGTTCTAGACCACCTGGGACTCTCGTGAGATTTACGAGAAGATCCTGACTGATTTGCGTTTTGGTCCTTGGTTTTTCTTTTTTCACTCGACACACTCGCGCACGATGTTTAATTATATTTTCACTGGCGCTCTCATGTTATTTTTCTGAAAACAACAACAACAAACATTGTTTTATACAATTTAACTGGGAATGAAATTCCCATCAGCATATTTATGTTTTATTCATCTCGAGGGAGATGAAAATTTCATTTTTCTTAGTTTCGATGCGATTTGTATCTTTAAATGTCTCACGGTTGATATATTTGCTTTTTGTACTCGAGAAATTATTATTTTTGGCAAAAAAAATTATTATTTTTATACATTTTTTAATTTTTAATTTCAAAAATTATTATTTTTGTCACCAAAAAATTTTTTTTTTTGATTTATAGCCAGAATTTTTTTTCCCTGCTGTCTAAATATAAATTAATTGGTAGTTTTCTACTAATGAGTAATTCCTCGTGAACTGTTCCAATTAAAAAACTTGGATTTCAAGGGACATTATTGTTTTCTTCAAATTGACAAATTCTAGAAAAATTAGGTGATTTTAATTTTTATATATATTTGCAATTAAATTAAATGCAATTAAAGTTCTTTAAAAGTTGATTTTTAAAAATTGTAACAAAATAGGTACTTGAAATAAATTAATTATTTTCATTTAAATATACTTAAAATAAATAAATTGTTTTCATTTAAATTTTACCAAATTTTAACTATTTCAAAACAATTTGTGAAAGATTAATTGTTTATAGTTATTTTTTGCATTATAAAAATCAAAATAAGTTGCAGTTTTTTTACTAAAAATTGTGGAATTTTGTTGCAATGTTTGGAAGAAGAATCGATAATGTCGCAATTTTTTAAAGTTAGAGGTACTTTTTGTGGAAATTAAAAAATAAGGTTTATTTTTGAAAAAAGGAAAGTTGGAAATTTTTTTTTTGAAAAAAGTTATTGAATTGAAAAGTAAACAAAAAATGCTTTAAAATTCACTACGAAAAATTGAAATCTGTCAAGTTTTGTCGAAATTATATTTCTTTGAAATTGAGTGGGAAGAATTTTATAAATTTCCAGTATATAATTGATTAGATATTATTTGATAATTAACGGATTGTAATAAAAATTAAGTAAATAAAAAAAAATTTTTAAATTTAAAAAATTAAATAAAAATAAAATTGAAGATAAAATAAAAAATAATATAAAGTATCAAGAAATGAAGAGAGAAATAAAGAAGAAATAAAATAAAAAATAAGTGAAAAAAATGAAATTAAAAGAAATTAAAAATAAAGGAAAACTAATATAATAAATAAAATATAAAGTTTTCTACCTGAATTTAAACGGTGATGTCTGACTATAACTTACTTTTACTACTGATATCTAATTGCAGGAAATTTAATACTGTTTTTTAGGGTATAAATACTGAAGTATTAATTAAAAAATTATTTCTATTATTGTTATTTTCCAAATTTTATGGAAACTACCTTTTTTTATTGTATTTCTCTCATTTTTATTAGAAAGCTGAGATTTATTTACTATTTAAATGAATTAAATAAATAATAATAATAATTGTAATAATTTTAATGATTTTAATAGTTATGTAATAATTGTAATAATTCACAATTTAAAATTTGATTTATTCGTTTATTAATTCATTAAACAACAAAAGAGCAAGAATTTTACTAAAGGTCTAATTAAGAAGAAATAAAATAAAAAATAAATTTAAAAATATATAAAATAAGGAAAATAAAATAATAAATAAAATAAAAAGTTTTTTACGAGAATTTAAACGATGTCTGACTATAACTTACTTTGACTACTGATATCTACTTGCAGCAAATTTAAGACATTTTTTGTAGGGTATAAAAACTGAAGTATTAATTGAAAAATTAATACTATTATTATTATTTTCCAATTTTTACAAAAACTACCTATTTTTTATATTTTTCTATCATTTTTATTAAAAAGCTGAAATTTTTTTCAGTAAATTATTCAATTTTTAAAAACGCACTCTTTAATTAAAGTCATACTTGGATAACAACTGCTGTAATTTTTCATAAAATTCAATAATTTTCAAAATTTTGAATTAAAATTCTTCAAAAGCTCAATTATTCAGAAGTATTTTAATCAAATTTTGTCAAATTTTACTCGTTTGAAAATTTTCGAAATAATTATTTTCGAGTATTCAATTATATTTTCTAAAATTTAATAACTTATGGAATAATTAATTTTTTATGTAAATTTCCAAGAAAAATTCTTCAAAAATTGAATTGCTATTGTAACAAGTCAGAATACGAGATTTGATTTATTTCATTCTTAAATTTGTTTAAAAAATATTTAAAATAAATAAATTTTCAAATGTTGGAAAAAATAGTCGGTATTAAGTATATTATTTTTTTTAGTAGTTTTAGACTTTCAGAATGAAGCATTTTTATTTATTTTTAATTTAATCATTGCTTTCCATTTGTCTATTTATTTACAACAATTTGTTTTAAAAAATTTAGAAAATTAAAAAACTACTAGGAAAGTAGTACTTTTTTGCAATAGCAATTTTAGTTTTATACCTATAAAAGTAGGATATATTTTTAATCAAGTAAAAATTTTTTTACAATTTGTTATAAACTGTTAAAAATGAGAAGAGGGAAATTATTAATAAATAGTCATTTTTCTTTTTAATGCATTATTTATTATTCATCGTGAGAAATTTTTAGTAATATAATAGCAATAATAATAATAATTATTATTATAAATTATATAAATAATTATTATTATTATTTTTATTACTATATCAAGTTAGTAAAAATTTAGAAGAGAAAAAATTTTAATTTTCCTTTTCTTTAGCCAGTTGTGATTTATTAATTAATTAAGACAACAATTAACTCTTGTACCTAAATGATTTTTGCAGTAACTATTTTTACTGATTTTATCACCATGACACTCTGGCGTAAACATAAAATTACAATAACCTTTTCCATGGTCACATGAATGAGCGTCTGAAACAACAAAAACAATATTTAAAAAATTTTTTAAAAGATATATAATTTTAAAATTAAAAGTATATTTTTATTTTTTTATAAACTAAGATTGTAAATTAAATTTTGCGTAAATAGCATATGTTGTAAAATAAGTGATTAATTATTTTCTATTTTTTATTTATAACAATTTGATAAAATCTTAACCATTGTTTTTTTTATTTTTTTATAATATATAATCTCTGTTTAAGCAAATAAACAAATAAAAAATTAATATTCACTTTTCTTTAGTAATATTTTTTCTAAATTTAAATGCTATTTTATATTAATTTAACTTTTTTAAAATTTTATTTTATTTCTAATTTAAAATAGTTAAATGTTAATTACTTATTTTACCATGCTTTTTTAAAGAATGATTTAAATTTATTTCGCACAAAAAAATAGAGAATTAAATATTTTGTTTTTAAAAATGTCTTACCTGCAGCTAAAGTAATAATAAATATTATTAAGAAGGAAAAGACAATTTTTGTTGCGAGGAAACACATTTTAGATTGTATTTTTTTCTCTAATATATTTCTATATTTTTAAAATTAATAAATTCTGTTTTCCTTTTATATGCGAAGTTTCTGGTCAATTTTTTTTAAATATTGTCAATTACCATTATCTATGACAGTTAAAAAACAGGTTACCTATATATTAATAGTACTATAATGAGATCGGGACTGCAATAATAGTTCTATAAAACGGTGTAGAATTTCTTATCAGAATTGTTTTTAACAATAGTTATAATAATTCTAGTTTTTAAATGTTTAAATAAACATTTTACTAACGAACAGATCATCAAAGCAATTAAAGCAAAATTTTTCAACTGAAGTTGTAGTAAAAAATACTAAGAATTAGTAAAAATTAATTTAAATTTAGAAAAAGTTTTTATTAGATAATTCTAATACAAACCAATTTAATTATTTAAATACAAAAATAAATAATTTGTTAAATAATTGAATATTTCTTACAATTGAATTCTTATTATGAATTTTATCCAAATTTTTAAAAATAATTGATTTATTTCGAACAAATTTAATTAAACGTCTAAAAATAATATTACATTTTTCGACAAATTCATTTTACACTGTATTAAAAATGATTAAAATCCTGTGAAGATTTTTAATATTTGTGAAACAAATTAAATTCTTTCATCAAAGTTTATTTAATTTTTTCAAATAATATTGAATTCTTGTGAAAAATTTAATTATTTGTAAAATTAATTGAATTTTCACATAGAATTTTAATAAAAAATTTTTAAAAATAATTCAATTTTCTTGACTCATTTTATTTTTATTTCTGCGATGGATTTTTTTTTATTGAAAAAATTGAATAAAATTCCTTGAATATTTTAAATAATTGTGTGTAAAAAATTTTGAATTTTTGGAAATAATTGAATTTTCTCGAATGGTTATATGCAAAAGTTAAAAGAATAATTCAATTATTTAGAATAAATTATTTTAAATAGTATTAAAATTAATCAAATTTCTGTGATAAATTTCATTATTTATAAAAACAATTGAATTCTTATAAACAAACATTTTCAAACTTTTAGAAAATAATTAATTTTTTTTTTAAGAATTTTATTAACATGTTTCAAATAATTGAGTTCTTTCGAAAAATTTTCTTGAAATTTGTATTTCAAATAATTCAATTCTTGTGGAAATTTGATTATTTATTAGAAAGTTCAACGAGAATTCAATTATTTAAATAAAAAAAATAATTCATAGAATAATTGATTATTTCTCAAAATTGAATTCCTGAAAAGAATTTTATTATTTATGAAAATAATTAAATGTTTGCGTAGAATTTTATTAACATTTATTGGAAATAATTATGAATTCTTTTATGAAAATTTTATTGAAATAGTAGATATTGAAAATCATTGAATTGAGGAAATTTTTTTGAAAATAATTGAAATTTTACCAAGAATTTTATTAAAATATTTTGAAAATAATTGAATTTATAAAATCATTTGTAACTTCTACAAAAATTCAATTTTTTTCAAGTGTTTTTAAATAAAATTCTTCTACAAATCCATTATTTTTAAAAATTAATTAGATAATATTAAAAAATGTTTATCAAAAGAATTTGAATTTAAATTGTACTAAAAATAATTGAAATTCTGCCATGAGTTTTATTATTTATAAAAATAATTGAATTTCTGTAAAATCATTTGTATCTTTTTCAAAATTCAATTTTTTTTTACTGTTTTTAACTATAATTCTTCTATAAATAAATTATTTTCAATACATAATTTTCTAATAACTAATTTCAGAAGAGTTTGAACTTTGAATTATTAAAATTTTTCAAAAATCTTTAAGTTCTTTAAAATTTCTAATTAAATTTATTAAAAGGAAATTTTTCAAAACTTGAAATTAAAACATTTATATTTAACATTTATATTCATCTATTTATAAAAATTATAAACGCATCTGTTTTTAAAATTCAATTAATTTTGAAATATTTGAGAAAAATTATTCATTAAATAATTTATAAGCAATAATTTTATGACATTTCTTCAAGAATTAATTTATTCAGAAAGAAATTGTCGGAAATAGAAAAAATTGAATGTTTTGTATTAGAATTCGTGATAATTTAATTGTTTATTGTGGCAAATAAAAAAGACACAAAAATTCAGAATTTTCTTATATGAATTTTAAAAATTAAATTTTTTCCATTAATTTTAATAAAAATGGTAACACTGATCAAAATAATGAAATGAAAATAAAAATTTGAAGAATCGAGGAAGAAGAAACTGTTGCATAAGCCCTGTGATCGATTGGCAGTGCAGTAAACTGATGATTATTTGGTGTGAGTCACATTATGCATGTAATGATGGGAAGATGAGTAGTGTAACCTTGACCATGACCGGGCATCTTTCTGACTGTGACCGAAATAAGTCTGCATCTTCATCCTCAATCTGAAGAAGTCACTTTCATAACCGGCTGTATTCTGAAGGTCACTTGGCTCTTCCTCTCATCCAACCTTTTGTACAGAGTAATCATGAACTCGTCTTCTCTCGCGGACATTCACCTCTTTTTATGCATAACAACTTCCACGCCACACCCGCGACAACGCACTTCAATCGCAATATCATTATCATCATTTTATTTTTTGTATTTTTTTATTTATAAATTCTTCTTTTCAATATCAAATCATGATTCTCGTTTGGTAACATCTTCTTTCGAAAATTTCTCTCTCATTCATATTCATTTGCTGTAGGAAACGAGGAAATGTATTTTCTTATCATAATTGCTCTTAAAATTCATTTCCATAAATATATAAATATATTCGAAGTTTGAGGTGCCCTTGAAAATTTTGAAAACATTATATTTCCTTGAATTTTTTTCTAACTTGAACTTTGAAATCATTATTAAATTGAATTTTTTTTTATTTGTCACAACAATTGAATTTTAGACTTTTTTATTTGGATTTTTTTTTTTTTTTTTTTTGAATAATTGAGTTCTAAGGACTATAATTATTTCAATTAGTGAACGATTTTTCACTAATTCAGGTTTAGAGAGTAACGAGGAGAGTAACTAATTAATTAATTAATTATAATTATATTAAACTATTCAGAGAAAAAAATGGAAACTAAAAGAATTGGAAAAAAATATACGAAATTATTACATTTTATTCTTTATTGTGATGAGAATGAAAATTATTGCAAGTAGTTTAAATTTTCGACTTAAGAGGAAAAAATTGAGATTTAAATAAATTTTTGTTCAGAAAAATGTTTTCACAACATGGAAATAAATTTACATTATTTTATAAGAAATGTAAAAAAAAACGGCGACTTCTAAGGTACTATAACTTTGATGGTGATTTGTATTTCTTCGAAGGACTTGCGTGGTCGATTGCAAAAAAAAAAAAAAATGACTTATTACTTGATTGCATTATAGGTCGAAATTGTTATTCCAAGGATGCTCTCTTTCTATGACGGAAGCGTTACACTTAGCGAAAGAGTAAGTGAATCTTACGCAACAGTGAAAGCATGAATCGGTTAGAAAAATTATTGTCGAGAATTACTCATTGCTACCCCATTTTCGAAGATTTAAGACTTTTTCGAAATCATACGGAGAAATACTTTTGGAGAAATCTTATAGAGGCAAAAAAACTTTGGATTTTCCTCAAATTGAAATTTTACTCAATTTGGATTGTCATCAAATTTGTACTCAATTTCGGATTGTGCTTAAAATTAAATTGTACTCAAATTCGGATTGTACTCAATTTGATTGTTCGTAAATTTTTATTGTCCTCAAATTTAAATTGTACTCAATTTGAATTGTCCGCAAATTTAAATTATATTCAATTTTGCGTGTTCTTAAATTTAAATTGTATACTCAATTTTGCTTGTCCTCAAATTTAAATTGTACTCAATTTGGATTGTCCTCAAATTTAAATTGTACTCAATTTGGATTGTCCTCAATTTGATTGTTCGTAAATTTTTATTGTCCTCAAATTTAAATTGTACTCAATTTGAATTGTCCGCAAATTTAAATTATATTCAATTTTGCTTGTTCTTAAATTTAAATTGTATACTCAATTTTGATTGTCCTCAAATTTAAATTGTATACTCAATTTTGCTTGTCCTCAAATTTAAATTGTACTCAATTTGTATTGTCCTCAAATTTTAATTGTACTCAATTTGGATTGTTTTCAAAATTGAATTGTACTCAAATTTAAATTGTATATTCAATTTGGATTAAACTGAAATTTAAATTGTACTCATATTTTAATTGTCCTCAAATTTTAATTTAATTTGGAACAATTTCGGATTGTCCTCAAATTTGTACTCAATTTTGGATTGTTCGCAAAATTAAATTGCATTCAATTTTGATTGTCCTCAAATTTTAATTTAATTTGGAACAATTTGGGATTGTCCTCAAATTTTAATTTAATCTGGATTAATTTTGGATTGTCCTCAAAAAAATGTACTCAATTTGGATTGTCCTCAAATTTGAATTGTACTCAATTTGGATTGTCCTCAAATTTAATTTTTATACTCAATTTGGATTGTCCTCAAAATTGAATTGTACTTAAATTCGAATTGTACTCAATTTGATTCTTCTAAAATTTTGATTAAACTCAAATTTTCGAATTGTAGTAAAATTTGTATTGAACTCAAATTCGCATTGTACTCAATTTGGATTGAACTCAAATTTGGATTGTATTCCAGTTTCGGCGATATTTTAAGCAACTTTTCGAAAGTTATGTCAGACGGATTAAAAATGAAGATAGCAAATACATAATATGAGTTCGAGTGAAATAGAGAGTGAACGTGACAAATTCTGGGGCAAACGAAACTTTTCCTGCGCCATAAAGAAGTGATCACGTACTCGTCCTGGAACTGTTTACAATGCAAGTGGGGTGATGAATTTATTTTTTCTTTTCTTTGTGTGTGTGTGTCAAACCCTATACGAAATATGTCCACCATTCCAATATAAATACTTTCGTTTTGAATCAGCAGGACATCAGTCTTTCGATCGTCTTGTTCTTGAAAACTTTTCCGGGCACCAAAAAACCTTTGACATGGCCATCAAGGTGAGCTTTCGGTTTAAAGAAAAATTATTTTTAAAAAACGAAACAATATACGTATTTTGTGCTGAGTGGATAAAAAAAAATAATTTTTTGTGCTAAATTTGTGAGTGAATATTAAACGTGGAGAAAAAGATTGTTACTAGAATGCTTCTATAAAATAATTATTTTAAATATTATTATTCACTTAATAATATTTAATAATATTAGTAAACAAAATTCAAAACATTATTTAAATTCTAATAAAATCTATAACGTTTAAAAAAAATAGATTAGAACAAAAATTTCTACATGAATTCTAGTAAATATTTGGTAGAAATTTACAAAATTATTATTATACAGATATAATAATTAATTTAATAGGTATATTATTAATAACCTTCTTTCTTTTTTTAAATTTGGCGCCTATACAGTTCATTAAATTGCCGCCTAGTTTTTGTTATAGTCTAAAAATTCTAGTTCACTTGAATTTTTGTAAAATCATTCTAGTAAATAAACTAAAAAATTTTAAATAAATTTCTTAAAAACAAAATCAAAAAGTTTTATTAAAATTCTTTAAAACGATTCAATTATTTTCAAAAATTTGTCAAAATTCAATTCATTTCAATATCTACTTATTTAATAAAAAAAAATTGCAAAAAGTTCTTGGTAAGAATAACATTATTGTTATAAATAATAAAATTTTTCTTTCTAATTAGAATTGATAAATTATTCTAAATAATTGAATTATTCTTTTAAATTTTCATAAAATTATTCAAAAAATTCAATAAAATTCGTCGAAAGAATTCGATTATTTTCATAAATATAATAAATCCCATAGCAGAAATTCAATTATTTTTAATAGAATTTTAAATAATTTATTCTAAATAATTGAATTATTCTTCTAAATTTTCATAAAATGTTAAAAAAAATTCAATTATTTCCAAAAGTTTTAATAAAATCCTAGGTAAGAATTCAATTAATGTTACAATCACAAATAACATTTTTCGCAAGAATTCAATTATTTGAAAAAAATCAATAAAAAAATTCTCCATCTTCCAATTTGTACTCAATTTCGGATTGTCCTCAAAATTAAATTGTGTTCAAATTCGTATTGTATCCAATTTGATTGTATACTCAATTAGGATTGAACTCAAATTTAAATTGTACTCAATTTGAATTGTCTTCAAATTTAAATAAATTCTTCGAAAAATGTAATTTTTTTAAAAAGTTTTTTTAAAATTGAAATTGAATTTTCTAATGAGAATTGATTTGAAAAAAAATTTTTTTTTTAATTCTTAGAAACGATTAAAAAATTGATTAATAAAATTCTTAGAAACAATTCAATTATTTTCAAAAATTTAAAGATAATTTTTCACAAGATTTCAATTATTTTCAAATTTTTAAAAATAATTTTTCGCAAGAATTAAATTCTTTTCAAAAATATGAAGATAATTTTTCGCAAGAATTCAATTATTTTCAAAAATATAAAAATAATTTTTCGCAAGAATTCAATTATTTTCAAAAATATGAAAATAATTTTTCGCAAGAATTCAATTATTTTTAATATCTACTATTTTAATAAGATTTCACAAAAGAATTCAATTATTTTCATTAATAATAAAATTCTTCACAAAATTCAATTATTTTCAGAAATAATAAAATTTTTACAGAAATCCAATTATTTAAAATGCAATTTTCATAATTTTTTTTTAAAAGAAATTTATTATTTAAGAAAATGTTTATATAATTCTCCGAAAGAATAAGTCAATTATTTTTTCAATTAATAAAATTCTTCACAGAAATCCAATTATTTTCATAAATAATAAAATTCTTTTAAGGAATACAATTATTCATAAAATTTTTCATAAAATTCTTTATAAGAATTGAATTTTAAGAATTAATCAATTAGTTTATTCAATTATTTATTTTTTTATTTAAATAATTGAATTCTCTTAGAACTTTCTGACCAGAATTTGATTTGAAAATAATTTTCATAGTTAAAAGTTTTAGATAATAATTGAATTTTAGAAGCGTTATTGTGTGAATTTTTAGAAATAATTAAATTTCAAAAGATTTTTAAATTGATTTCTTTTTCTTTAAATTGATTATTTGATTGATTTTTATTGATTATTCTTTGATTTCTTTTTAACTGTTGTAAAACATGCGGAAAAGTGTATTGTTCTCCAGATTTTTCATTACTTTTCTGTAAACAGCATAATATACACTATAATCAACTTAAAATTACATTTTTTTATTAATAAATAATAATAAAAATAAAAATAATAATAAATAAATTAAAACAGCACAAAAATGACGTTTTTAGTCAATTTTCAAGAACTCCAAGTGTGGAAAGAAGCTATTTTCCGATGAGTTTGTTTTTCAAACTCATCGGAAAATATCTTCTTTTCTCACTTGGTACACAATCTACAGTATTATTATCTATCTGTATTTTTATCCATATTTTTCTCAAAATACAGATTTTTGTCATTTTCTTCGCAACGAGTTTAATGATGGCCAGAGCCAGCGTAGTGCCAGGCATACCTGCACTAGCTGTAGCACCACCACCTCCACCTTTAGTCAAAGTCGACAACTACGATCCACATCCACAGTACACCTATGCCTACAATGTTCACGACACCCTAACTGGCGATGCAAAAAGTCAACACGAAACGCGCAATGGAGACGTGGTTAGCGGAAGTTACAGTCTCATCGAAGCCGATGGTACGAGGAGAATCGTGGAATACTTCGCTGATCCCATTAATGGTTTTAATGCTGTCGTGCATAGAGAGCCAGCAATTGTCAAGGCTATTCCTCAAGTGCCAGTGATACCGCCAATTGCAGCAATTCCTCAAATTCCACCACCACCACCACTGCCAGTGGTTCCTGTTGCTAAAGCCCCACATCCTTTTGTCGCTCCACATCCCTATGCCTTCCATCACTGACGATCATTGTTTCGTCATTGCTATTCGTGACCCAAATAGGGTCCTAGTCAAATCTCCTGTACATATATCTATTGCTACTCGTTTGTATTTTTCTTTATATGAATATAGAATATTTTTAGTAAAATTGTGTCCGGATGTTTACTCCATTTCTTCTTCTCTTCTTCTTTTCCTTTTCTTCCTTTTCTTCCTTTTCTTTTTTTTGTCTTTTCTCCCTTTTCCGTTTTTATAGAAATTATAATCAAAAGTTATAGGTTTGTTCTATTTCTGATTTCTTCTTTATAGTTGTTTTAGTTGACTACCTGGGTGACTACCCAAATAATTAATCCTCTTGGTAACTAAACACCTAGGTAATTAATCTTTTTGGTAACTAAACCTGGGTGTTTAGTTACTAAAAAGATTAATTACCTGGGTGTTTAGTTACCAAGAAGATTAATTATTTGGGTTAATTATCTGGGGAGTTTAGTTCCCAAGGAGATTAATTACTTGGGTGTTTTGTTAAGTTTAATAATTATCTGGGTGATTAGTTATCAAGGTAATTAATAACCTGGGTGTTTAGTTACCAAGAAGGTTAATTATTTGGATGTTTAGTTAGAGTAATTAACTATCTGGGCGATTAGTTACCTAGGAGGTTAATTACCTGGGTGTTTAGTACCCAAGGAGATTAATTAGCTGCGTGTTTATGTAACCACTATGATTTTTTACCTGGGTAATTAGTTATCAATGTAATTAATTACCTGGGTGTTTAGTTACCATGAAGCTTAATTACTTGGGTGTTTAGTTAAGACGATAAATCACCTGGGTTATCAGTTACCAAGTGGGTTAATTATCTGGGTGTTTAGTACCCAAGGAGATTAATTACCTGGGTGCTTAGTTAAGTTTGATAATTATCTGGGTGATTAGTTATCAAGGTAATTAATTACCTGGGTGTTTAGTTACCAAAGAGGTTGTTTTGCCTGGGTGTTTAGCTCTCCAAGGACATTAATTACCTGGGTGTTTAATTACCAAGAAGATTAATTATTTGGGTGTTTAGTTAAAGTGATTAACTATCTGGGTGATTAGTCAAGGTATTTAATTACCTGGGTGCTTAGTTAAGGTGATTAATAATAATAATAAAATTAATAATAATAAAAATATGAATAATATTAAGAATATATTAATAATTAATTTATAATGTTAAGATAATGTTGAAAAAAAAATATAATAAACATAATATAAAAAATAAAAAGGTTTAAAATTTAAATATTGTTTATATTTAGTATCTTGTTGAAGTAATTTATTGTTAGCTTGTTTATTTATTATGTAAAGGTAGATAAAAATAAAAATTGTCATCGGGGTGATAATTAAAGGAATATTTCTTCATTAGGGCGACGTTATGGTGAGCGATGCCAATAAACATTACTCGATAGCATTTCGTGCACTTTTCAGAAACTTGAGCAACACCTGGCAAGTGTCTGGAATCCTAGTGACCGTAAATGGGCCACTGGCATTGAATTGTCCATTTTTAATTAAATTCTCAGTGCCAAGGCGCACTTTCACCCTCACTTTAATTCAATTCAATGCTCTCTGTGCGCGATATCTAATTTTTGCTAATGTACACTCTAAAAAACCTGTTTTGAAATTTGTTTGATGGGGAATTACCGTGGCAGTAAGAAATGACTATTTTGATGGTCAAGTTTAGGGGAAAAATTATGTAATATACGTATTCTTCGTAATTTTTTTTTTTTGACTTTGAGATTTGTCAAAAATAGACAATTTAACATTTTTGGCCCGTTTTTTGAAAAAAAGATAAAAATTGAAGATTTTAATAATAATTGAATAATTTGAATAGAAAAATTCTAAACTTTATTTTGCGCTTTCAATTATAAAGTTTAATTAACAAAAAAAATTATGTAAATACATCAGGAGGAGAATATAATGATTATAATAATAATAACAGATTTACATTGCCCCAAATTTATTTGCGGTTACGATTTTCTGTTGAATATATAATTGAAGGCGAGAGTGACAGTTTAATCATATATGATGTGGATTTAAACAATATTTTCATATATAAAAAATATGTATTTATATTTGCAAGTCCAGAAAAGTACAACGGACTCAAGTACAACATGCGATGACTTATTTGGCGGATGCATTTTTTAATTATTATGCCAAATGTTATTTCTTAACTGCATTTTATTGCATAATTATACATATATCGTCGAGAAAAATTTTAATTCGACATTTTGACATGGATTATAAGACAGTAATTGAAACGTGTAATTTTAATTTCAAAAAAAATCACGCATATCAAAAATATCGAAATTATTTCTTTTCCATACTGTGACGTAATTTTCAAACTAATCTTATTTTAGTATAAAAATTCTGCTTACGTCAGGCAAAATCCGACGCTTTCAACAAAAATAATAATATGAAATTTAAGTTAATAAATTTCGCCGTCAGGCGCCAATTAATTTTTAAGCTCAATTAATAAACTACTCGACTCTTTAACAACCCGACAAACAACAACACCTCTGAGACGCTCTCAATCTTCAGAGGAAATTCTGCCTGAACAAGTTGGCAAGCAGAAATGCCAACGACGAGACACGACTGGCACAACACTGGCACGATACTGACTCACCCCAACGACGCTCGTTGATTTCTCTCTTTCCTAATTCCGGCACGCTCCTTCCAAAGGATTCCTTAATTGAGGGAAGAGAAATAATCCAACACACAATTAATCCACTTTTCACAATCTCTACTTTTATTCACAAAACTATAACTTCTTCTCTCGACAACAAGTTTTCTGACAACACACTTCTCTGGCAATCAGACCCTCTATTGCCTTTCTACACGTCTCGTGGAACAACTCTCTACACACGTCGTAGATCACTCTCCTACATCACTCGTAGGCCAACTTTTCTACATATCTCGTAGGTCACTATCTACACACGTCGTAGACCAACTGATTACAAAAATGTCGGCGAAAAACTACCGGCACCTGTTTCTCGCTTTTCTCAACACGTGCTCGGCTTCTTCGTCTCTTCTTCTCTCTCGTTCCGATGGCCCTTCTCTCTCTATCTCTTTCTAATAGGCAGCGGCTCTGCCCTCTACCACTTTCTCTCCTACTAACTAGCCGCGCGACACACATTCACCACTGATAGTGGGTCACACGGCAGTTTCGACTTTCTAAATTACCATACCAATTAACGATCACGGTTCAGGGATAATTCCGACAGATGACATGACGATTCCGAATTTCGACAAAATAAAGAACGACAATTCACATCGTCACAATACATAATTTACATTTATTATTATTAATTAGGTATTAATAATAATTTTAATAAACTATCTATTTTTTATTTTTTTCCTATATGGATATTTCTTTTATATAATCATTTTCTATCTGAATAATTATTATAATATATTTTGTATTTCATTATTGGTAATTATTACTTTCACTATGATCATAATTAGCATTTACAATTTAGCATTTATAATTACTAGTGTTATTATTATTTTTTACTATTATTATAATTTTTTACTACTATTACAGGGTTGACACAGGTTAGGAAATTCAGGGAAAAGTCAGGGAAAGTGAAATTGGTCAGGAGAAATCAGGGAAAAGTCAGGGATTTTTAGTAAAAGTACTGGAAAAAATTGAATTTTTAAAATTCATGAGAAAACTCTGAATTTTGATGTTTTTTTTGTTCGCCTCGTAAACTATGAAATTACCACGAATTTTGATACAAAACCTTTAATTATTTCTATTTCTGACAATAAATTCTTTTTAAATAAGTTAATTTTTCAAGAACTATCATAAAATTATGAATAAATAATTTTTACAATTTTCATTAATACTAGATTGCTAGAAGAATTTTAGTTAAAACTTCTAAAAAAAATTGAACTTTGGAAAAGTTACAAATGATTCCAGAAATTCAATTATTTTCAAAAGTTATAAAAATTCTTCGCAGAATTTCAATTATGTTCAAAAATTTTTTTAAAATTTTTGTCAAAATTTCACTTATCTTTATAATTCAATTATTTTTATAAACTTGAATAAAATTCCTTCCAAAAATTCAATTATTTATATAAATAATAAAATTCTTCACAGAAATTCAGTTATTTCAGTTATTCTTATAAACTTGAAAAAAATTCGTTGGAAGAATTAAATTATTTTCAAAAGTAATAAAATTCTTCACAGAAATTCAATTATGTTGAAAAATTTAAAAAAATTTCTTGTCAAAATTTTAAGTAGGTATCTTTATAAATAATAAAATTCTTCTCCGAAATTTAATTATTTTAGAAAAATTTTAATAAAATTCTTGGCAAAATTTCACAGGAATTTATTAATTACAAAATTTTTAATAAACTTCTTCGAAATAATTAAATTCTTTTTATAAATATAATAAAATTTTCGCAGGAATTCAATTATTTAAAATACAAAATTTCATAAAAGTTTTTAAAAATATCAATTATTTAAAAAGATTTTTATAAAATTCGTCGCAAGAATTCAATTATTTAAAAAAATTTAACAAAGTTCTTTTCAAGAATTCAATTATTTTTATAAATAATAAAATTCTTCATCGAAATTCAATTATTTATATAAATAATAAAATTCTACACAGAAATTCAGTTATTTTTATAAACTTGAATAAAATTCGTAGGAAGAAATTAATTATTTTCAAAAGTACTAAAATTTTTCGCATAAATTCAATTATGTTCAAAATTAAAAAAAAAAAGTTCTTGTCAAAATTTCAAGTATCTTTATAAATAATAAAATTCTTCTCAGAAATTTAATTATTTTAGTAAATAATTTAAATCTTTAGTAATTTTTTTCCTGAGTAAAAACTTTAGTAAAAAAAATAGTTGTAATTACTAAACAAAATAGTAATGTTGTACTAAAAATTAGAAAATTTTTTATTACTAACCTGAGTGGTTTTATTACTAAACCTATTTTAGTTCAAATATTTATTGAATGTCATTAAAAAATTGACGACTTGAATATTTATAAAAAAATCTCTTTTTTTCAAAAATACCATCAACCGCGAAGAAACGTTCCTTTTCAGTTCCATTAAGAAAAAAATAATAAAGACTTCTTTGCCTCTCTACCTTTTAAGGCAATTTGAAGCAATTTTTCTTTTTTTTTTGATATGTAACTTCCTTATTTAAAAGTAAAAAAAAAATTAAAACACTGACATCATGAATCCTTCGAATTGAGAGACTGGATGGGAATTTAAATGAAACTCTTTAGAAAAAAATCACTTATGAGAGAGAAAGAGAGGGAGATAGAGAGTAAAAAATTTGGCTCAAATATAGATTTTGTTTTCAAGTCGCGTAATAGACTCGCGAGTGGTGTCTTAAAAGAAGACGGCGTCAATATAATGTATTATGAAGAAAGATAAGAAACACATTGGTACATGGTGTTTAGTTATGAGGGAGGTCAACTGTATTTTATGAGAAAGGTGGGGATGCATTTGGGTGCAAATGTAATGTTACTATTGCTTTATTGCCACTACATGACACGTTCATTGTGTATAAAAGCCCTGTCAATCTCATCCTCGGGCATCAGTTCCTCTGTGATCTTCTTCTTCTTATCAAAAAAACATGGCTTGCAAGGTAAAAAATGATGATCGTTTGCTTATTTGCAAATTTTCTGTCTAAATCTCAATTTAGTGGGGAATTTTACTAAAAAGTAGTTAAATTTTACTAATTTTTTAGTAAAATTTCACAATTTGTGGAATTTTACCAAAAAATAGTCAAATTTTATTAATTTTTAGTAGAATTTCACAATTAGTGGAATTTTACTAAAAAATAGTCAAATTTTACTAATTTTTTAGTAGATTTTCAATTATTTTGATAAATAATAAAATTTTCACAGGAATTCAATTATTTAGAACAGAATTTTCATAAAATATTTTAGGAAAAAATCAATTGTTAAAAAAAATTTTTATAATTAATTCCTCGCAAGAATTCAATTATTTAAAAAAAAATTTAATAAAATTCGTCAGAAGAATTCAATTATTTTCATAATAAACGATTCAATAATTATTTTAAACAATTTTCCGGAACTAAATTATTTTTTAATATCTACTATTTCAATGAAACATGACAAAAGAATTCAATTATTTTCATGAGTTCTAGAATTCTTCAGAAAAATTCAATTATTTTTATAAATAATAAATTTTTTTTTCATGAATTCAATTATTTTTCAAAAATTTTAATAACATTTCTTGCAAAAATTCAATTACTTTCATAAATAATAAAATTTTTACACCATTACAATTCAATGATTTTATTTAAAAAAAAATTTAATAAAGTTCTTCGTAACAATTCTATTATTTTTATAAATAATAAAATTCTTTGCAAAAATTCAATTACTTTCTCAACTAATCAAATTTATCGCAGAATTTCAATTATTTCTAATACAATTTTAATTAAATTTCTCAAAACATACAATTTAAAAATTTTATTAACATTCTTCAAAATAATTCAATTATTTAAAAAAAATTTAATGTATCGTTTATTAGAAGTTAATAAATATTTTCAACACGTTTTTAATTAAATTTTTTTTTTAAAGAATTTAATTATTTTCAAAAATTTTAATGAAATTCTTCTTAACAATTCAATTATTTTCAAAGAATTTTAATAAAATTCTTTATAGAAGTTTAATTAATTTCAACAATCTTTTGGAATTCAATTATTTTTTAATATCTACTATTTCCAATAAAACTTTAAAAAGAATTCAATTGTTTTTAAAAAAATTTGAATAAAATTCATCTAAAGAATTCTATTATTTTTGTGAGTTATAGAATTCTTCGGAAAAATTCAATTACTTTCAACAATACAAGTTGAATATAATTTGTTGATAGAATTCACTTATTTTTAAAAATTGCGATAAACTCCTTAGAAGAATTCAATTATTTTCAATGCATTTTTAAAAAAATTAGAAGAATTTATTTATTTTCAATGCATTTTTAAAAAAATTCGAAGAATTTAATTATTTTTAATGCATTTTTAAAAAAATTGGAAGAATTTAATTATTTTCAAAATTTCAATGCATTTTTAAAAAAATTGAAAGAATTTAATTATTTTTAAAAAATGTTATGGATCTTCTTCGTAACAATTTAATAATTATTTTAAGAAATTTTGATAAAGCTCTTTATAAGAATTAAATTTTTAAACAATATTCAAATATTTAATAAATTATGAATTTTTATATTAATATTTATAGTGAAATTTAGAAATAATTAAATTTCAAAAGATTTTTTGTTAGTACTTGCTATATGTTTGTACAAGAGGCCGCATTAAAATAACACAACACAACAAAAGATTTTTTTTGAATAAAAATCTTTTGAAAATTTTAATTGTTGTAAAATTTAAATGTTTATTTCTGAAATAAAATGATGAAAGTTTTGAATAATTTTATTTGAAAATTTCAACAAAAAAATGGTTATATTTTGGAAGAATTGCAGTTGTAATATTTTCTTAGTCTTAAAGCTGATTTTTGACACATTTTTAAAATTAATTATCGAGTACGAACAGTTTAATTGTGGTCAATTGTGACGGTACAGAATAAACGATAATCTAATTTTTAGAAGTGCTTACTTAAATAGGAGCCAGGAATATTCCCTACTTGAATTAAGTGGCCCCACTTAAATTAAGTAGGAACCAAGAATATGCCCTACTTAAATTAAGTGGATAATATTCTTGGCTCCTATTTAAGTAGGAGCTTCTAAAAATTAGATTTGTAAGAATATTTCCCTCTTAATTTAAGTGGGGCCACTTAATTTAAGTAGGGCTCCTCTTTAAGGGCTCCTTCTTGGCTCCTATTTAAGTAGGCGCTTCTTAAAATTAGTTTATCTTTTTTTCTGTGTTAGTAGAGTTTGACGAATTGAAGTTTAGAGAATTGAAAAGGTCAAATTTCGTTCTAGATTCTCATTTTCCTGGGGCTAGGAGTTGTCGCACATGCTGCACTGGTTCAAGTAGCGCAACCAGTTCGTGTCGTCGGATCAGTACCCCTGGCGGAAGTGAACGACTACGATACAGTGCCGAGATATAGTTTCGCCTACGACGTCCAGGACGCGACAACTGGCGACTCGAAAGCCCAGTACGAGACCAGAAATGGCAACTTCGTTCAGGGCAGTTACAGCCTCATCGAGAGCGATGGTACCCGAAGAATTGTGGACTACACTGCCGACGATGTCAACGGATTTAATGCTGTCATCAGTAAAGAACCCGCCGTTTCTGCACCGGTAGCCGTAGCTTCTCCAGCAGTCCCCGTATCTGCAGTTACTCCAGTGTCTCAATTTTCTCCAGTCTCTGGATTTTCACCAATTGCCGGTGTTTCGCCAGTCACTGGATTTTCTCCAATTGCCGGTTTTTCTCCAGTTTCCGGTGTTTCGCCAGTAATTCCCGTCTCTGGTGTTTCTCCAGTTTCCGGTGAGAATTCTCCAGGTGTTGCAGCATCCGCTGGACCAGTGCCCACAATTCCCTCGAGTGGACCCGACTCGGATGTTGAGGTCGTGGAAGCGAGATCGGGACGATTGGTTGGCGGGCAATCGAGGTCTTCGGCAAATCTCGTGGCGAAATCGCAGATTAATGGGAGTCCAGTGGTAAAAGCGGAGCGAAGGCAAATACAGGGGGAATATGTTCCGGTGAGAGCTCGTGCCAGTGCGATTACAACTCCAGCTTCCAGCAGTTCTCAAAGATTTGTCACTGTACCTGAAGGTCGTCGTGTCAACTATCCAGTGTATTCGAGTTATTCTTCTCCGTTTGCTTTCGCGAATCCCTCCGATGGACTCACTTACACGATCCTCTAAATCTGTTGTTGGATTTTGGCTATTTTTTCTTCTTTGGAAAATCTGTGTCAAAAAAATCTGTATCGTTATGTAATAAATTAGTATTTTTACGAGGGTGTCTTAATTTTACCTGATTCTTTAAAAAATGCTGCAGTTAATTAATTAATATATATTAATTTATTAATTAATAATTAGTTGAGTAGTGGCGGTCAATAGTTAATTATTCGCAACATAGAATAACAAGTTTGATTGAAACGAACACTTTCGGACGGAAGTCCGAAAGTTTTCGTTTTAATCAATCTAGTTATTTTAACTATTACTCGAACGATAATTTATAATTATAATTTTTTATATTCATAATGCGAAGTCTGTAGGAATTCCAAAGGTGGCAGCGTCAGGCGGATAGAAAGATATAGCTAGTGTATCTAACGTCCCCTCTTCTTTCTCTCCCTCCAGAGACGCATGCGCACAACGAGCGTCACCAGCAACTGCGCATGCGCCGCTGTAAACGCCTCAGCGCGCATGCGTTAAGAAACAAGGACAAGAAGAAGGGGCCGTTAAGTATTACTTTCTTTATCGATCTGATTTTTTTTTCAAGACCATCGCGTCCTTGAATATAATTATATTTAAAACAGGAATAATAAATAAAAAATAATAATAATAAAAATAAAAAAAGGGAAAGGAAAAAGGCTTCCTTTATGAGGAAGCAAAAGGAATAATAAAATAGGAAAAATAAAAAAAGGATTAGTTAAAAAATGAAATAAAGAAAAGGACATAAATTTATTCTAAAATCGCAAAATGAAATTCAAATGAAATAAAATTAGAAATTTTAACTCATTTCGCTGAGTATAATGAACATAAAAGAACAAATTATGTGATAGCATTTGAAAGGAGGAATAAAAGAATAAATTAAAGAATGAGGACCAATTTAAAAATTAGTCCTCATTTTTTTTTTTTTTTTTTTTTTTTTTTTTTTTTTTTTTTAAGGATACGAGAGTATTATTGACGTTAATTCATCTTGAGTGTTGTTCGAGTGCGAGAATTTTTTTTATTATTATTGAGACTCGATATTATAGTCGACTACTGCAATATCCTTTTGGCGGTTACGGCTGCTTTTGATAAACAAAATTGAAATATTGTGCAACTTGTCAAAATGAGAAACATGAGCATGAAGCGGGTAATGCGAATTGAATTTTAAAATGAAACTTCTTGAATATAGTTTTGCCTTCGCAATTCAACCTCTTTGTCAACACAATATTATTCAGAATGGTTACAGTATAGTAATTGCAATGCGCCATGAACGAATAATAAAAAAAAATACGTGATTCATATGTGATGTAAAGGGCTCAATTGCGGAGATCTTTTTTTGAATTCTGATGCTATTTTTGCATCACTTTTTTATCTTCTTTGGCTTTTTTTATTTTTACTTTAATCTTTGGCTATTTCTTTGTAATTTTTTTTTTACTATTTTCGAATTGTTTCGTCAACTAGTTTTAACCTCGATTTTAATTTTTAACAAAAGTAAGAAAAAATCATTTTCTTTCTATTTGAATTCAATTCAAATTTTCAATTTAATTCAAATTCAATTCGAGATTCATAATTTTTACATTCATTTCAAGGAAAAAACAAAGAATGAAACTGTTTACATTTTAAAAAAGAAAATTATTGAAAAGTAGCCTATTTTTAAATTTCAAACTATGGGTTAAATCATAACTTTAGAACTAAAAATAATACTAAAATTCAGTCAAAAATGTTTCAAATGTAAAGCGTTTTAGTAAAAAAGGGACTGAAAGTATAATTTATTTTTTACAGTACTGGATATTAATTTCGTATTTTTATTTTAATTAATTTCATTACAAAATTTTTAAGAATTTCTTTCATATTCATAAAAGATTTCTTTTTAATCGTAAATAAAGGACGATATTTTAAAAAAAAAACTTCTTTTTATAGAGAAGAATTTTTTCAATCTTGAAATTAATGAAAAAATAAATTTTTCCCTATGAAATTAAAATTAGTACCAAAAATTAGAAAGATTACAGAAATAATTGAAATAATAAACAATAAATAATTAAATTTTTAAAGTAATATTTTTGAAAATTTCAATTGATGCTGAATGAAAAAATTAATAATTGAATATTTATTTTTAAAATTATTTAAGTTTTACATAACTTTTCAAATGAAATACTGAAAAAATTAGATTTATAAGAAATTTTAATTAAATTGTTTAAAGATACTTGAATTTCAAAAAAAAAAATTATTAAATTATCAAATTAATTTAAATTTTTAAATTTTGTAAAATTGAATTGTAAATAATTAAATTTGTCAAAAAATTCCATTAGAGATTTACTTAGAAATTGAATTTTCAATAAATTTAAATTTAATAATTGATGAATAATTGAATTCCTAAAGAATTGAATATTTAAATTGAAAATTTTTTAAATAATTGAAATTTTCTAAAATATAAAAATAAGTTGGTTTTTTAGGAATATTATTGAAATTTTTGAAAATGATCGAGGGAAGTTTCCTTAAATTGCATCTAAAATAGTTTAATTATAAGAGACAATTAAAATTTTTATTAATTAGTTAATTTTAAAAAGGATATAAGTTTAAATTCTGTTGTTTAAAATAAATTTTTTTTTAAATTTTATTCAAATTAGGAATATTATTAAAATTTTAAAAAAAAATGAGGGAAATTCGCCAAAATTACATCTTAAATAATTTAATTCGAAAGACAATTGAAGTTTTTCATTAATTAGCTAATTTTAAAAAAAATGTGAATTAAAACTTCTTTTTTAATTAAATTTTCCAAAAATTTTCTTTAAAATTCAGAAAAATTTATTTTTTTTTTTAAATATTTAAGTTTCATTTTTCAAAGATAATTGAAATTTTAAACAATTGAAAATTAAAATGGAAATTTTTTTAAATAATTCAAATCTTCTAAAATATAATTATAAAAATAATTGAATTTTTTTAGAAATTTTATTGGTAATGTTATTAGTAAGAATATTCATTAATTTTTAGTAAATTATTGCTACTTTTTTCTAAAAGAATTTTTTAGTCCATAATTCCATTTTTTTCTAAAATAAAGTACTTTTTACTAAAAGCATAAAATGACTAAAAATTTGTACAAATTTTTCAATTTTGTAAATTCTTGGTTTAAATTTTACTAATTCGAATTTAAATTTTAAAGATAAGGATTGTTTAATGTAATAAAGATAATATTAGGCCTGGGAATTTGAAATACTTAAATAAATAAATGAATAAATAAGTAAATAGATAGTAAATAATAAAAAAATAAAATAAACCTTTAGAATTTATTGTACCTACTTCTGTAAAGATGGTCCACTAATTATTAGTGGAGTTATTTGAAAAGATAGTCTTTTTCAGTGTAATGCTAATTACAAATCAAAATTGTTAACAATTTTGATACGCTTTTTGTCTTAATTTGATATCCTTAGGAAAAGTGTTAATGTAAACCAATGGTGATAAATTAATTGCTACTTAATTTTTAAATCAACAATTAAGGGCCAGTTTCACCAACTCCTATTAAAAGTTAATCATCTTAACTTAAATCCTTAACCGATCAATCATGAGTGGTTAAACTGACTTTAATCATTGATTAACTTTTAATCGGAGTTGGTGAAACTGGCTCTAAGAGTGATAAAAATTTAATTGATACAATTACGGATGATAATTACATCATCCGCAAACAATAATAAAATAGACACACATTTTTCTTCAATTATCGATAGTTTATTATAGTAAAAATAAAAGTTTTTGTATAATATGTACATAAATTGGGATCGTGTACCAACACAACAGTTGCAAACAATTAAACATCTCTCAATTTAAATCAACTTTATCGTAAAGCGACTTTAAAGCGACTTTAAGGCAATTTTTAAGCAACAACGATTAAAGTAACTTAATTAAAAAGTATAAGCCGCGTATGTAAGTGGAGCTGACACTGGAACCGTAAATCTAGAAGCAACAGCTCTTGGCAAGGTGTAACTAACAGGCGATGCATAAGCAGCAGGTACGGCATAGGGAGCAGAAACTGGAACGGCACCAACCACCGAAGGTTCAACTGCAGAAGCAACGACTCTTCCAGATTGAACCGCAACTGGTGCAGTCACATATCTTTCAGTTTGGACAGCTGAGGCTAAGACTGTTTGTGCTGGAACGGCGACATTTGAAGCTAGGACTCTTTGTGCTGGAACGGCGACATTTGAAGCTAGGACCCTTTGAGCTGGTACCGCAACTGGTGAGGCAACAACTCTTTCTGCAATTGTAGCTGGAACGGCAACTGGAGCGACGGCGACAGCTGGCTCTCGGTTGACGACAGCGTTGAACCCATTTACTGGATCGCTCGTGTAGTCCACTATCCTCCGGGTACCGTCGCTTTCAATAAGACTGTAACTGCCCTGGACGATGTCTCCACTTCGGGTTTCGAATTGAGCCTTGGAGTCGCCGGTCGTTGGGTCCTGGACGTCGTAGGCGAAGGTGTACTGCGGCACTGCGTCCAGATTCTCAATCCTTGCCAGTACGGGTGCTGCTGGGGCCACTTGAGCCACTGGTACCACTTTTGCCTCGATGGCGATTATCGCCATCATTGCGCACAAGAGGGACGTACTCTGAAAGTTGACGATTAGGGTATTAGTCGATCTGGCGATTGCAGTCGATGGTGTTTTTTTTTTGGCTTCTAGCTTTTGATCCTCTGCTGATGCTAATGACTATTATTGTTGACCATTACATTATTGACCCTATTATCATTGACCATTATAATGGTCACACGAAAAAAACGATAATCTAATTTTAAGAAGCGCCTACTTAAATAGGAGCCAAGAATTTCCCCTACTTAAATTAAGTGGGGCCACTTAATTTAAGTAGGGAATATTCTTGGCTCCTATTTAAGTAGCGCTTCTTAAAATTAGATTATCGTTTTTTCTGTGCATTAGCATTAACCTGTTGGGGACCATGGGAGTTACGTTCTATGACGATAGAGTTCAGATAAGTTACCATCAGCAGAGGATTAAATTACTAAATTTAAAAACCAGAACATTAAATTAGTATATATTTAAAAACCAGAATCATTAAAAGAAACGGAATCAAAAGCAAAATTCAAAAATATAAGAAACTTGATTTGAATACAAGACTATTTTCAAAGATGAAAGTTAGATTTTCTGGTGTTTCCCCCAGAGCATTTAAACTTGCAGCAAGTCTTAAAATTCCATTTCTGCAAACTCTTTTAGAGATTTGGAACACTTTATCCTTTGGGGTTTTTTTTTCACTGGGATTTAAGAAAATAATGCACGCACCTTAGAAGCCATTTTCGCGATTTTTTTGGTTACTGTTGTGCTGACTTTGTGAATAGAAGAAGACACTGTGATGAATAGCTTTCAGACTGCGGTGCTTATATTGGGCGAGGATGTCACAATTTCTTTGAGAGCCATTACAACTCCCACTTTATTAGCGAATAGATTGCAATTTCTCGTTGCGCACTCGATGTGCCATTAGTGAGGGTGACCTGACTAAGGTCGCACCTGACAAGACTAGGATGAAGGTTAAAACGCGAATTCAACGTATTTTCCAAGGACGTTTCACAATTCTTCGGATGAGTCGACAGTGAGGAATTTCCAATACTCTGGTAAAAACATTGGCAAAATTGCTTTTTTACCAATTGTTCTTTAACTTGGTTTTCAATTATCAATCTATAAACTATTTTTCTTTCAATGTTATACTACACGGAGAGAAAAAAAAGTGAGCCGTTTGATTTGGCAAGAGAGCGCTGTTTTCCCTTTATAAAGCGCAGCAGTTGCGCCGCAAACGTCGAAAGGTTATACTTTTTGAGGAGTATCGGTTCTCTTCTCCACACAAATAGAGCCGCTTACTTTCCAAAAAGTGTACCCGCTTTTCCCAAAAAGGAGAACCGTTCTCCCCTCGAGAGTAAGCAGCGTGCTTAACCTCAAGTTGAACGGCTGTTTCGCATTTAACGCAACCGCTCTACCGACAGGTAGAGCCGCTTACTTTTTTTTCTCTCCGTGTAACAGGCTAAAATTTTTCTATTAAATCAGGGTTGTCACAAATATTTAATTTTATTATTTCCTGACATCCCTGACCTTTGGTAACCCTGTAACAACAATATTTCCATGAATAACAAAAGTATAATTCTTGCGGTTCTCAAAAAAGAAAGTCAATTTCATAATCAAAGAAAATAAATCCTCCCCAAAGAATGCAACAGGATAACAACGAAAGTGATTTGAAGCTCGTGGCAAAAGCGAAGATTATTTCACATTTTTAAATAAAAGAAAAAAAAGAAAAATATTGCGAGGGTCATTGCTGCGTGTTTCTCGGTCGTCCATTAAGATAGGCAAGACTCATTTGTTTTCCAGTTCATCGAGAAAAGATCTTTTTCCTCTCTCTTCTCTTTCTTGTATGTTATGTGTATACTCGGCAACGAGACAAAAGCCTCTCTAACGTGAATAATTCACACGAGCAATCTGGTTCGTGGATCCCGCACACACCAACCAACCAACCCGTTAAAAACAAAGACGTTGTAAGTTGATGATTTTTTTTCGGGACATTAAGACGCGTTTGTGCCCTCAAGATTACAACGCGGTGCGCCTGTTATTTATCGGTCCCGTCATCCATCGCAAGAATTGCGCTGTCCTACAAGAATTTTCTCGCATATTCACATTATTCTTTAACGCTGACGGCGCGAGAATTTCTTGAAATTTTATGTGCCTACTCAATTCCATAAAATTTAGTTGCTCAAAAACATCATATTTTCTGGTTATTTTATTGCACACACGGCTGCTAGACAGCGTATACAACAATCTTCTTTTTTTAGGGAACAAACAGACAACAGTCGACTATAATAATAATAGAGGATAATATATAGTACAACAGTATTTCATAGTAGAAAATATAATACAAATAATGTAATATTAAAAAAGTAAATTAGGTTTTTTTGATGAGTTTGTCAGTTGTTGCTGAAGCAACAACTGGCAAACTCATCAAAAAAAGTCTTCTTTTCGCACTTGATATAATTTTCTGCATTCTGTACATTTTTCCATTATGCAGTAGAAAGATACCAGAGAAATAAAATATGAAACAATACTTCCTCTATGAGGAAGTAAAAAGAGTGAAAAGTGAAAAATTCAGAAAAGTATACTTTTCTGTATAATAATACGAAAAAAAATCTGTGCAAGGAAAAAGAAGAATTTTATTCAGAACACACGCGGGTTGACGAGACAAATTTATTTATCTGAGTATAGTATCGCTCTTAATTGAATTTATCAAGCATTAGTATGCGAAATCATGGGTCCTCTGTATTTGAAATACTAATGGAATTGTTGCTTAACGCTCAATAGCAAATTAGGGATCCTCACGTATGTGAGCATCAAATTTTTTTATGGAGGGGTCGAAACATATAAATTTGAACTTCACTTTAAAAACTGATTAGTCATTGCAAACTTCTGAATTTATTCTTTCGCAAAATGGACCTCAAGGTGTGTGTGTGTGTTTGTGTAAATTTAGTGAATTATCATTTATTGAGAAGGGGACAAAAATTATTTAACAATACCATCAAAAATCAATTTAATACTTGTGCAACACAATAGAATTAAATCTTTAGTTCAATCACAAAGTATTCGTTCAATTACAAAATTTTCGTTCAATCTTAAATCTGTAGTTGGTTTCAAGGAAAATATTTGTCTTCAGTGTTGATAAGTTTTTGCTAATATTTTTTTATTGTCAATTAATTTCTGTGAAATATCCACTAAATTTTTGTTGGTACTTTTAAAGAGTTGCCAAAAGTCAGGGAATTCAGGAGAAAGTTTTGGGAAAGTAGAATTGATCAGGGAAATCAGGGAAAAGTCAGGGATTTTTATTAAAAGTACTGGAAAAAATTGAATTTTTAGAATTCATAAGAAAATTCCGAATTTTTGGTGTCTTTTTTGTTTGCCTCATAAACTATGAAACTACCACTAATTCTAGTATAAAATCTTCAAAAAAAAAATTCTATTTGTGACAAAAAATGAATTTTAAAATATTATTTAATTATTACCTACAAAAGTTTTAATTTTAACGCAATTATCTTAATAAATATAACAAAATTCTTCACAGAAATTCAATTATTTTTAGGAATTTTAATAAAATTCTTTACAAAATTCAATTATTGCCATAAATAACAATATTCATCGAAAGAATCCAATTATTTTCAAAAGTAATAAAATTCTTCGAAGAAATTCAATTATTTTCAAAAATTTTCACGAATATCTCCGTCAAGAATTCAATTATCTTTACAAATATGGCAAAATTTTTCGCCAAAAAATCAATTATTTTCAAAAATTCAAAAATAAAATTCTTTTCAAAATTTCAATTATTTTCAAAACTTTTTCGCAATTAAAATAATTAAGTAATTGTCAATATTTACTATTTTGATAAAATTTTTAAAAAGATTTAATTATTGGAAAAAATTTTTGATACAATTTTACGAAAACATTCAATTATTGTCATAAATAAAAAAATTCCATTTAGGAATTCAATTATTTTCATCGCAGAATTCTAAATGTTTCTAACGCATTTTTAAATAAATTCCTTGAAAAATGCAATTATTATTAAAAATTTTATTCAAACTTGAGGAAAGAATTCAATTTTAAGAAACATTTAATTATTCAATAAAATAATAAAATTCGTTGTTATAATTCAAATATTTTTAATTCGTCGCTGAAAATAACTTATTTTCAAAAAATTTTTGAAGTAATTCTACAAAAGAATTCAATTTAGTTTGATAAAAAACAAAATTCTTTTCAATAAAATCAATTATTCTAAGGAATTTTAATGAAATTCTTTAAATCTTTAATAAAATACTTTGCAAAAATTAAATTATTTTCAAAATTTTGTAAAAATTCTCGTCAAGAATTAAATTATTTTGATAAATAGATAGCGAAATTCGTCTCAAGAATTAAATTATTTTCAAAAATTTTAATAAAATTTTTGTCAAAATTTCAATTATTTAAAGAAAATTTAATAAACTTCTTCGCATAAATTTAATTGTTTTTGGAAGTGTAAAAAATATTCTTTAAAAAGTTTTCAATTATTTTCAATTTATTATTTTCAAAAATTGTTAAAAAATTCTTTAATTAATAGATTTCAGTAAAATTTTAATTAAATTCCTTAAAAGAAATTAAAAATTTCCAAAAGTTGTTAATAAAATTCTTCGTGTAAAAATTAAATTTTAAGAAACATTCAATTATCGAATAAATTATTTATTTTTGTATTTAAATAATTGAATTCTCGTAGAATTCAATTATTATTTTTCGTACATTTAGCTAACAATTCTGTAGAATTATTTTTTTTTTTTTTGAAAAAATTTAAATGAATAATAATTAAAGTAATTGATTTAAAGAAGAAAATTATTTGAAAATTGTGGAAAATAATAATTGAATTGAAATGATGAAATTAATTTTGAAGAAATTACAGTAACAATATTCGAGATGCATCAACTAAATTTTTGTTGCTTTTGCTCTTTATTAAATTCTCGAGAAATTAATTTTCTAGATGCTTCCACTAAATTTTTTGTTTGTTTCTTTATTAAATTCGAGAGATTAAATTTCAAAATGTAAAAAAAAAATTCAAAACTGAAAATTTCTTGCAGATTTTTATTCTCGCTTCTCTGTCGATGACAGCAATCGAAGGAGCAATACTAACATCAGGCATACCAGTGTTGGCAAAAATTGAAAATTTCGACCCTGCATCACAATACATAATTGCTTACGACACTCAAGATGTTGTGACAGGAAATAGAAAATCAGAATTCGAGATTCGAAATGCTAACATCCAGAATAGATATGTGGTGGAAAATGTAAATAACATCAATGGATTTACAATTCTGAACCAAGAGGCTGTTCCAGTTATTGAAAAAACAGTTCCGATTGCTACTGTTATCACTAAAACGTTACCAGTTGCAAGATTAGTCTCAGTTGCTCCAGTTGGTCGACAAACAGTTCCAGTGTTTACAAAAACAATTGCATCATCCCCTGTAATTTTAGAAACACTCCCTTCTGGTTTATTTTTGGAGAAAAAATCTGATATTTCAACTAATAATCAAGATGACAAAATTGCAAGTTTAGTTGCACCATTAAGTTTAGCTGCTGCTGGATACAAATATTAATTAAAATACTGAACAAATAACGAAAAATAACAACAAAAAAATAGTAAAGAAAAAATAAGAAACATTTTTTATCTGGAGGGTGATTTTTAGGGCCGTTCAAAAAATACCTTACATTTCAAGGGGGGAGGGGGATCAATCTATTTTCTACCATCAGCAAAAAAAAAAAAATTACGTTAATTTATACAATTTATATTATCAAAAAAATGTCAATGTAAAAAATGCAAAAAAAACTATTTTTAATAAAAATAAAGTTTGGTTGATTTGGTGATTTTCTCATTTGTCTTCTTTTTTTTTTTGTTATGAAAATAAAGCGAAGTGTGTGTTGACACCTCGCATACAAAAATGACAGTCGATGCGATGCGTCGACACAGATGCTACTCGAGTACGTGTAATAAGTAAAAGTCCAATGTCAAGTGAATGCATAACATTTTTTTCTTCTTTTTTTTTCTTTTTTTGTTATTCTAGACGATTCACCGCGTCGTTATCCGTTACATAATCCGTTAGGCTTGTCTTGTTTACGAAAGAACAATGCGTAAATAAAACTCGTAATAAAACGACCTTCGGCTACGTGTCCTGCCTAATCAATTTAAATTCTACGATACTTGCACTTTTATATATGTACCGAGTTTTTTTTTATTCGTTGTACCAAAAAATACATTAGTATTTTTACTTTAAATTGTTTTGTACAAAAACCATTTTTATAACAGTTTATAACAATTTTATAAAATACATTAGTATTTTTATTACAAAATTTTTTGTACAAAAACAATTTTTATAACAATTTTATAAAATACGTTAGTATTTTTACTACAAATTTTTTTTGTACAAAAACAATTTTACAAAATAGTAAAAATACATTAGTATTTTAACTAAAAAATTTGTTGTACAAAAAAAATTTTACAATAGTAAAAATAATGATTTTTTATTTATTTACTACTATTTTAAATAGTAAAAATGAAGGAAATATCTATATATCTAAATAAATGAAAATTTTAGTTTAATCAATGAAAATAATTGCAGGGTTTTACAAGAAATTTATGACAGTAGGTAACAGCAAAAGAGTAAATTAGCAATAGAAAGAGCGGAATGTCTGACTATTGTCGAGTTATACTACTTAGAATGTATCTATAAACTTTACTAAACCAACGTATGTTCGTTTTTCGCTTTTATTCTTCTTTTTTCAATATATTTTTTTTCCTTTTTTCAATATAATAATAAAATCGTAAAAAAAACGTAAAGAACGTAGTTCAACATAAATTGTTAACATTATAATGATAATCTTCTAATCCTCATTATAATGTTAAATAGATACTCATAAAATTGTCATTCACTGAACGCTTACATTATAGAAACGTGTTTGGAAAAGAAATTCACCTCATTTGTCAACCCTTTTTTTAAATTTAATTATTTGTTATAATAATAATAATAATAATAATAATAATAATAATAACAATAATGGTGATGATAATAATAATAATAATTATTTTTCAACGAAATTTTTTTCTTTCAAAGAAATCTTCTTCTTTAAAAATAGAAAAATTATTTCTTTAATTCTATTTGAATTCAAATATATCATATTATTGTTATTATTATATTATTATTGTTGCTATTATTATTATTATTTAATAATAATAAAAATATTTTTTTCGAAAGTTTTTTAATCTTTTTAATTTGTTTATTATTTTGTAATTTATTACGTCTTTATTTTGAGGGAAAAATAAAGCAGATCATAAGTGAAGATTTGCAAACTGAACTCGTTAAATGCGCGTGAAATTTCTTCTTGATTGTTCAAGTTTTACTTTTTTCGAAAAGTAGATCAGAAAAAAAATTATTATAACTTGTCTTTATGCCAGTGACATAATACATTTTTGCAAATTATTGTCCTTCAAAGTTTCAAGAAATAAATGAACTATTACATTAAATTTATTTATTTCATTTTTATAAATTTTTAAAATAATGTATTTTTTAAATAATTTTATTTATAGGTATATTTATTATATTATTATTTATATATCTATTTTATTTATTAATTATTTTAAATTAAGTATTCACTATTTATTAACTATTAACTATTCTCTATTACTGTTTGCTTTTAAATATATTTATAAATATTTATAAATATTAATAATTTAATTTAATTTAATTTAAATTAAATTAATTTAACGGATTTTTCGTTTTTTTGAATCTACTCAATTATAATTAAATAAAAGATCTTAAAATATTGTTTTAAGATTAATTGTTTATTGCCAAACAATATTTTAAGATCTTTTCTTCAATTATAATTTATTTATTTATTATTTTATTCATTTATAAATAATTTTTATTCGAACACAGGATTTTGAATTTAAAACAAAAAATAATAAATAACTGTTTACTTATTTATAACTCCTGAGTATAAACAAATAGTTAATACTTAATTAATTAATTATTAATTCAATATTTTTGGATTATTAATTATTAGTTAAATAAATAATTTTTCTAATTTGTTGACTGGAGAAAAAAGGAGATTATTTGGAATGGTGGAAAAAATAACAAATTGTTTTCTTAAATTGAGAAACATTTATTTGTGACTTGTGGTCATGTTTTAGGAATACAATATATTGACGATGTTTTTTATTTAAAAATGCGTGCGTAATTAAAAAATAGACGTTTAATTAAAAAGTAAATATATCTATGACTATTTTTTTTTTTTTTTTGTAATGTATAAGATTTTAAAATTGTGAAGAAGAGGTAACCTCTTTGAACGACCCAGATTTCGAAGACGACATTGTTATGAAAGCGATACCTGTCTGACCTTCACCGTTAAACTTCTGTTCCGTGTGAATCATTACAATGAAAGTAAATGTATCGCGACTCATCTCTCTCTCTCTCTTTTTTTTTCTCTCTCCTCTCATTACAATCCGAGTTCCGCAGTCAACATTCGGGCAGGTCGATGTCTATTTTTAATTACAATTAATTTTTTTTTTGGGGAGGGAAATTATAAAAATAAAATTTATGCAAAATTGCGAAATTAAAAATTGCAAAAATGCAAAAATTCAAATTTACAAAATTGTAAAAATCCAAATTTACAAAATTGTAAAATTCCAAATTTACAAAATTGTAAAAATTCAAAATTACGAAATTAAAAATTACAAAAATGTAAAATTAGACGAAATTAAAAATTACAAAAGTACACAATTAGAAAATTAAAAATTAGAAAAATACAAAATTGCAAATTACATGTACAATTTTTAAAAAATATTACTGCTATAATTTATTTTTCTGATTATTTACAAAAATTAAACCGAATTTAGAAAAAATTCAGTCACTAATTCAAATTAGTAATTTACATTTTTACTAATTCAAATTTAGAGTTTATTTAAAATGAATTACTAGTAAGTAGAAAAATGGGTAAAAGACGATAAACATCGAATTTCCGGTTGAATTTCTACTTCAATGAAAAATTTCATGATTTTCAAGTATTTTAATGCAAAAATGATTATATGAATCACAAGTTTAAAATTCAATTCGTTAGCAAAGTGACCGTAAGAATTGATCAGTCTTATATGAAACGGCACAAATTCCTCGACTAACAAAAAAAAAAAAATATTTGAGCAGGACATCTTTGCAGGAAATAATTTTGCACCAAGGTTTTTTATGAATAAAAAATTAAAGCTTCTGAATATAATTTGCAAGTTGCAAAATAATTTCCTGCGGTAAAGAAGAAATTTGGAAAATAATTTCTAATATTTATTCCACTGAATATTAGAAATTATTTTCTCTTGATTATACAATATTCTGATAATAGTAATCTAATTCCCAGCATCCCTTAGACGAACAGTGGAAAAAAGTACTTTTTCGCTTCTAGCATTATTTTTCGAGCGCACATTCTGGAGAAAATATTTTTAATTTTTTCTAAAGAAAAAAATGGAATAAAAAAATTTTTTGCAATAAAAAAATTGTTCTTCGATAAAAAAAAATGTTCTTAAATTAAAAATTACTTTTCAAAAATAGAAAGAGTATTCTTGATTTACAAAGTACTTTCAAAAAATAGAAAAAGTATTTTTCAATTAAAAAATGTTTCCGAAAAATAAAAACACTGTTCTTCAATTTAAAAATACTCTCGAAAAATAGAAAAGCTGTTCTTCAATTCAAAAATACTTTTAAAAAGTAGAAAATGTATTTTTCAATTTAAAAATTCTTTAAAGAAATAAAAAAAGTATTTTTTAATTAAAAAATAATTTCCAAGAATGAAAACACTATTCTTGAATGACAAAGTACTTTTAAAAAATAGAAAAAGTATTTTTCAATTTAAAAATTCTTTCGAAATATAGAATAACTATTCTTGAATTGCAAAGTACTTTTAAAAAATAGAAAAAGTATTTCTTAATTTAAAAATACTTTCGAAAAATAGAAACACTGCTTTTTAATTAAAAAGTACTCTCGAAAAATAGAAAAACTGTTCTTCAATTCAAAAATACTTTTTAAAAGTAGAAAACGTATTTTTTAATTTAAAAATACTTTCAAAAAATAGAAACACTGCTTTTTAATTAAAAAATACTCTCGAAAAATAGAAAAACTGTTCTTCAATTCAAAAATACTTTTAAAATGTAGAAAACGTATTTTTCAATTAAAAAATTCTTTCGAAAAATAGAAAATGTATTTTTTAATTATAAAATATTTTCAAGAATGAGAAAAACATTTTTTAACTAAAAAATACTTTCGAAAATTAGAAAAACTATTCTTGAATTACAAAGTAATTTCAAAAAATTAGAAATGTATTCTCTATTTCAAAAATACTTTCGAGAAATAAAAAAATTATTATTGAATTACAATGTAATTTTAAAAAATTGTAAAAGTATTCTCGAATTTGAAAATACTTTCGAAAAATAGAAAAACGTATTTTCTATTCAAAAATACTTTCGAAAAATAGAAAAAGTATTCTCCAATTCAAAAATACTTTCAAGAAATAGGAATACTATTCTTCAATTAAAAAGTACTTTAAGAAAATAAAATAAACTTTCAATCAATACAAAAAAATATTCACAAATCTCGAAAAAAATTGAATTTCAAAATTTTTATAAAGCTATCAGTTACAAAAGTAAAAAAGTTATTTTGTAACAAAAGGGAAGTATAAAAAAATGATTTTGTACCAGAAGGAAAATATTGAAAATATTTCGTAAAAAATAAGTTTAAAAAAAATTGTTTTTTTACAAAAAGGAATTAAAAAAAAATTGTAACGAAAAGCAAATGTTAAAAAATACTTTGCTCGCGTGTTAAGAGAAGAAAATCAAAAAAAAATTAGTGAGCGTACGAAATATAAGGAGAAGTATAAGTTACGTGCGCAATGTATGAGAGTGGACCGGCGTATTTGCCTGCAGTCAAAACGGGAGCGTGCGCCGCTGGAATTTTAGCGACAGGTGGGCCATAGGTGAGCGCTGGCTCGTATTTAGCGATGGGCTGAGCGTAAGTGATGTGCGCAGTCGCGGGCGAGAGTTTGGCAATTGGTTGCGCGTACGAGACGTGCGCAGGCGCAGCGACAATTGGCTGCGCGTAACTGTAGTGCGCCTGTGGTGCGTAGGCGATTTTCGCTGGCGCCGCAGCGATAATTGGTGCGGCTATTTTAGCGATAGCGCCCTCCTTGCGGACCACTGCATTGAATCCATTGTGATCGTCAGCCGTGTAGTCGACTATTCTTCTGGTTCCGTCAGATTCCAAAAGAGAGTAACTTCCCTGTACCATATCTCCATTGCGAGTCTCGTGTTGACTTTTAAAATCGCCGGTGAGTGAGTCTTGAACGTCGTAGGCGAAACTGTATTGTGGATGGGGGTCAAAGTCAGCGTCAACGGGTTTTGCTATTAATGCGGGGGCCCCGTAGGCCAGGGGGGCTCCAATTGCTCCGGCATTTGCAGCTGCGACTAACGCTGCTAGGACGATGAACTGGAATTTTTGGAAATTTAAATTAGAATTCGGAAAAATAGAAAATTAATTCATTAATAAATAGAAATTATAATTGAATTTAGAAAATAAGGGGGCGGTCAGAAACTACATAGCTCCTTCTTGGAATTTTAACCCCCCTCCCCTTCTACATTAGCGTAAGTTTTTCCTCTTATTGTAGACAGTACTTTAACCACCCACATCTTCAAAATTAAATTAGAATTTAAAAAATAAGTAAAAACCAAATAAAAATTTAGAAATAAAATTAAAATTTAAAAAATAAGTAAAAATTAAATCACAATTTAGAAAATAAATAAAAATTAAATTTGAATTTAGAAATTAAATCAAAATTTTGGAAATAAGAAAAAATCAAAATTTAATAACTAAGTAAAAATTAAATTCAGAATTTAGAAAATAAGTAAAAATTAAATTAGAATTTAGAAATTAAATCAGAATTTTAGAAATAAGAAAAAATCAAAATTTAAAAACTAAGTAAAAATTAAATTCAGAATTTAGAAAATAAGTAAAAATTAAATTAGAATTTAGAAAATGAATAGAAATTAAATCAGATTTTGGAAATAAGTAAAAACCAAGTCAAAATTTGGAAACTAAGTAAAAATTAAATCACAATTTAGAAAATAAATAGAAATGAAATTTGAATTTAGAAATTAAATCAGAATTTTGGAAAAAAGTAAAAATAAAAATTTAAAAACTAAGTAAAAATTAAATCAGAATTTAGAAAATAAGTAAAAATTAAATTAGAATTTAAAAATAAATAGAAATTAAATCAGAATTTTGGAAAAAAGTAAAAACCAAATCAAAATTTAGAAAACTAAGTAAAAATTAAATCAGAATTTAGATATTAAGTAAAAACCAAATCAAAATTTAGAAATTAAATTAAAATTTAGAAAATAAGTAATAATTAAATTTGAATTTAGACATTTAATCAGAATTTTGGAAATAAGTAAAAATTAAATCAAAATTTAAAAATTAAATTAAAAATAAGTAATAATTAAATCAGAATTTTGGAAATAAGTAAAAACCGAATCAAAATTTAGAAACGAAGTAAAAATTAAATCAGAATTTAGAAAATAAGTAAAGATTAAATTAGAATTTAGAAAATAAATAGAAATTTAAATCAGAATTTTAAAAAAAAGTAAAAACCAATTCAAAATTTAGAAAACTAAGTAAAAATTAAATAAGAATTTAGAAATTAAGTAAAAACCAAATCAAAATTTAGAAAATAAGTAAAAATTAAATCAGAATTTAGAAAATAAATAGAAATTAAATTTGAATTAAAAAAACAATTTTCAAAATCATCAAAACAAAGTTTACATTTTGAATAAATATTTTTATTCTAAATAAAAACTAAACTAAAAAGAAAACTAAAAATTCTATTTAATTTTCAATTATATTCCTTTTATGTAAAGTAAAGCAAAAATTAAAACAATAAATAAAAATTGTAATTAATATTTAGAAAAAATCAAAATTACAATAAAATTTTAAAAATAAATAAAAATTACATTAGAGTTAAAAAAATTATTTTGAAAATTTATCAAAACAAAATTTAAAGTTTCAATTTTATATAAAACGGCCAATAAAAATTATATTCAAATTTAATTTCTTTTTTGTAAAATGTAGCAAATAATAATGAAAAAAACGTTATAAAATTATTAGAATTAATATGATAAATAAAAATTAAATTAGGAATTAAAAACATAAAATTTGTATTATTTTTTTAAAATTATTATTAATTAGGTATTTTACATTTCAAAATTCTTTTGCTGGTGAACTTTCAAAAATTAGTTGGTCAAGTAAAATTGTAACAAAGTAAAATGAATAGAATATGTAGATATAACAAAAATATAAATTAAAATAAATCTATTAATTTTGAACAAAAAAATAATTTTTTAAACTTTTTTATTAAAAAAAACAAAAAACTAATTTTTATCTAAATTTTTAAAAATATTTTATTAAATTAAAATAAAAATGCAAATTGATAAGAAAAAATAAAATTATTAAATTTGATAAAAATTCAAATAAAATAAAAAAATGAAATTTAAATAAAATGATTTGTTTTTAATCAAACAAAAGACTATTTTTTTAAATAAATGTTTAAAAAAATTTTATTACATTAAAATAAAAATGCAAATAAATAAGAAAAAATAGATTATTAAATTTAATAAAAATTCAAATAAAGTAGAATTATTAAATTAAATAAAAATTCATAAATAAAATAGAAAAATAAAATTGCTAAATGAAATAAAAATCCAAATAAAATAAAAAAAAATTATTCTTTTTTTTTGAACCTCAAAAAGTAAGAATCCAATCGAATTGTTTTTCTAACAATTCACATGCTTAATTATTTAATTATATTCAACACAAAAAAACAGTTATTATTTTTTATATTTCTTTTATTTATTATATTTTTATTTATTTTCTTTATTATTTTATTTTTTCTTTTATTTATTACTTTATTTATTATTCTTATTTAATTTATTATTTTTCTCAAATTTACTTTATTGATTCTTTTCTTTTATTTATTATTCTTTTACTTTTTCCAAATTAACTTTATTTATTCTTTTCCTTTTTTCCCATTTATTATTTAATTTACTATCGAAAATTTATTTTTTGCCCTTACTTGAAAAGCCATGGTACTTGTTGAGAGACTGGTGAATCGTGTGATACTGAGTACCAAATGGGGTGAAACGGTATTTATACGAAGCGAAGCCCAACGCATCACACGTCGCATCGCAAATGCATTGAATTGGTTTTCTTAAAATGTATAGTTTCATGATGTAATGCTCAGTGGGTTGTGGCAAAAATATTTCCCTTCCTTTGCCAAACTCTGGTCACTGATATGCGCCAAAACTTCTTTTCGCTGAGAGGCAAAAAAAAAATATAATTTCAACTTTCACTGCGTACGGAATATAATCCTTTGAGAGAGACCCTTGCATAAAATGCAAAAAAAAAAATCGAGAACCTCATCCAATGTCACTATTTGGACCATTTTTTCTTACATAATCTCATCGTTTCACCTTAGGGCATAAACGTATAATAAAATTCATTTTGTATATGTAGATATTTCAAAATTAGTCGACAATGCAAGTTCAGGAACATCCCATAAGGTCACCCGTTCATCGACTCTCGAGATCATTTGTATTCTATTTATATTGCTCTGGGAAAATTATAATTTCATTATTTTGTGTTTTAAATAAATTTTAAATTCAATTTAAAATAAAATTTATTAAATTAAAAAAAAATAATAAAAAATTGTAATTTATTTGTGATGCGGTCTTGAGAGAGGTAGCTAAGAAGCAACAGAATTATAAATTATATATTTATGTTAGATTTAAATTTTATGAATAATAAAAAAAAGAAAATAAAAATAGAAATAGAAATAAAAAAATAGGAAATTAAAATAGAAAAAAGGAAATGAAAATAAAAATATAAATAGAAAAAGAAAATAAATATAGAAAATGAAAATAAAAATAAAAATAGAAATAGAAAATGAAAATAAAAATAGAAAAAAACAATAAAAATAGAAATAGGAAATGCAAATAAAACTAAAAAAAAATGAAACTAAAAATAAAAAATGAAAATAGGAAAAGAAAATCAAAATAGAAAATGGAAATATAAGATGAAAAAGAAAATGAAACTAAAAATAGAAAAAGACAGTAAAAATAGAAATAAAAGTATACGTAGAAAATGAAAATAAAACTAAAAAAAGAAAATGAAAATAAAAATAGAAAATCAAAATCAAAATAGAAAATTGAAACAAAAATAGAAAATTAAAATATAAATAGAAAATGAAAATAAAAATAGAAAAGGAAAATGGAAAAAGAAAATCAAAATCATAATAGAAAATGGAAATAAAAATAGGAAATGAAAATATAAATAGAAAAAGAAAATGAAAATAAAAATAGAAAAAGACAATAAAAATAGAAATAGGAAATGCAAATAAAAGTAAAAAAAATGAAAATAAAAATATAAAATGAAAATAGGAAAAGAAAATCAAAATCAAAATAGGAAATGGAAATATAAAATAAAAATATAAATAGAAATATTAATTGAAAATAGAAATAGAAAATAAAAATAGAAAAAGAAAATGAAACTAACAATAGAAAAAGACATTAAAAATAGAAGTAGAAAATGTAAATAGAACTAAAAAAAGAAAATGAAAATAAGTAAAAGAAAATCAAAATCAAAATAGAAAATGGAAATAAAAATATAAAATGAAAATATAAATAGAAAATTAAAATAAAAATAGAAAAAGACAATAAAAATAGAACATGTAAATAAAACTAAAAAAAATGAAACTGAAAATATAAAATAAAAATAGGAAAAGAAAATATGAAAAGAAAATCAAAATAAAAAATGAAAATATTAATAGAAATATTAATTGAAAATAGAAATAGAAACTAAAAATAGAAACAGAAAATAACAAAAATAGAAAAAGAAAATGAAAATAAAAATAGAAGCAGAAAATAAAAAAAATAGAAAAAGAGAATTAAAATTAAAAGTAGAAATAGAGAATGAAAATCGAAATATAAAATAAAAGTAGAAATATAAAATTATAATAGAAATATAAAATAAAAATAAAAATTGATAATTAAAATAGAAATGCAAAAAAAATAGAAAGGAATAAAAATAAAAGTTTAAAATAAAAATAAAAATACAAATTGAAAGAAGAAATAAAAAATAAAAATATAAGTACAAATTGAAAAAAGAAATAAAAAATAAAAATTGAGATTGAAAATAGAAATAAAAACCAAAAAATAGAAAAATAAACCAAAAATAGAAACACAAAGTGAAAATAAATTTTCTATAAATTAAATTTAAATATATTCAACTTATAAAAAAAATTTACATTTACGATTTAAATATAATAATTATACAGATAGGTATAATATTATACAGATATAAAACATAGATACAATATTTAGACACAATATTATCTAACACTGAATGTAAATTTTTTTTTCACCCAAATAAATTAATTTTGACAGACTAACAAGCTAATAAATATTAATAACAATAATTATTTCTCTAATAAAATAAATGATCAAATTTAGATTTTATGCTTTACATATTATACTATAAAAAATTAAAAATTCTTGTTTTGAAAAATGTGTAATAATAAGGTGAAGCTATAATTCACATACATATAAAGTGATAGGTTATTAACTCACAATAAAGAAGCCTTGATCTTTTATAATCGGCACTTTAATTTTTTCAAATTCTTTTATATTCCGAGACTTAAAATTGATTACGCCCACAGGAATTACAATCTGTCAGGTTATTAATTTATTTCATTCATTTATCCTAAAATGAGCTTATAATTCATCGATATGCATTGTTTGATAGTGAGAAAGATCATTAAAGGGTGAAAAAAATTTCACACCTTGTTAAATTTCAATGTCATTGGAAATTGTATGGTGAATAATTAGTCTTGTAATTGGAATTCAAGTTGAGATAATAGCATATAATTAGGTTATTGTTATTATTATTAAATAAATTGATTTAATTTTTAATATTTTCTTATCCGGAGTGGATGATAGTTTTTTTTTTAAAGAATACGAACTTTTTTTGTAATTGAAATTATTTTCAAGTTTGTTTTTTTATTTTTTTTTTGTATTGCAAATACTTTTATATTTAAAATATTTTTTATTGAAAACACTTTTATATTTAAAATATTTTTTTATTAAAAACACTTTTATATTGAAAATACGTTTATATTTAAAATATTTTTAGATTGAAAATATTTTTGTGTAGAAAATACTTTTTTGTTAAAAATACTTTCATATTGAAAATGCTATAAATATTTTTAGATTCAAACTATTTTTATGTAGAAAATACTTTTTTGTTGAAAATACTTTGATATTTTCAATTCTTTAATATTGCAAATATTTTTAGTATGAAAATATTTTTAGATTGAAAATATTTTTAGATTGAAAATACTTTGAATTGAAAATATTTTTAGATTGAAAATATGTTTATATTGCAAATACTTTTTTGTTGAAAATACTTTGATATTGTCAATACTTTGAATTAAAAATATTTTTAGATTGAAAATATTTTGAGATTGAAAATACTTTTTTGTTGAAAATACTTTGATATTTTCAATACTTTAATATTGCAAATATTTTTAGTTTGAAAATATTTTTAGATTGAAAATACTTTGAATTGAAAATATTTTTAGATTGAAAATATGTTTATATTGCAAATACTTTTTTGTTGAAAATACTTTGATATTGTCAATACTTTGAATTAAAAAATTTTTAGATTGAAAATATTTTTATATTGAAAATACTTTTACATTGAAAATACTTTGATATTAAAAATACTTTAAATATTTTTTGATTGAAAATATTTTTGTGTAGAAAATACTTTTTTGTTAAAAATACTTTGATATTGTCAATACTTTGAATTAAAAATATTTTTAGATTGAAAATATTTTGAGATTGAAAATACTTTGAATTGAAAATATTTTTAGATTGAAATTACTTTTATGTTGAAAATACTTTGATATTAAAAATACTTTTTCGTTGAAAATACTTTGATATTGAAAATATTTGCACATTGAAAATATTTTTTCTCTTAAAATAAAGAACTATTTATAAATTCTCGGAATAAAGTAATACGATAATTGTTTTAAAATACAATTGATAGTGTGATTAAAAATAATCGCTCGTTGCATTTCGTGAAAAGTGAAATAATCGTTTAAGCCACACCCATTATTATCAACTCTTAAACCCAAAAATTGTTTCAGCTTTCGGTCGAAGACATGTGTTTTAAGTTACCACATATAATAACAGTCATTACAAAATGATGATATAAGTATAGATACAATGATACTCGTGTCTTTTCTCCAAAAAAAAATTGTATCATATTTACAAGGTGTTTTTGAAATTAATTATTGTTCCCTGGTAGTTGAAATTTTTTTCAACTTCTCGTTTTTAAATCTCTCTCCCTTTTGAATTTTTATTTATTTATTTAATTGAAAATTAACTTAAAATTAAAAAGAAAACTCAATTTTTTTTCTTTATATTATTAAAAGTAGAAAAATCTATTTTCTGCTGCACAAAATTTTTAATTTTTACAAATAATTTAAACAGTACAAATATTTAAACAATATTTATACTATTTATAATTAAACTATTTTTTATTTACTATTTATTTATTTATTTTTATTAAATAATTGTATAGGAAAAATAATAATTTGAAAATTTAATGAATTTTTTTATAATATTATATATAATTATAATAATTAATAATATGTTGATTTAATAAATCATTCATATAATCACCTTTGACGACATTCGAATTTCGAATATTGAGACACTTTTTTAAAATCGTGATCTATCATACATATATATATATATTTTTTTCTGTGACTTAATATAATGTCTTATATAAAACTTTCTTGATAAAATTGCAGGTAGATATTTTTTATATTTGCATGAGAGGCCAAACTGTGGGCCAGTGTGCCACGCCTTAATTACTATGCTCCAAAAATAAGTTCAAATTCACCTTCAACTTTGCTGCATGTATTTATAATTTTATATTTTTATATATTGTACCTTTACAACCTAATTAGCTCGTCTCGATTTTAATTATTATTATTTTTTCACCCCGCTCTCTTTTATATCGGCGAGTAATTAAAAATATTCAATATTATCCGCTTGTTTTCAATTATTACTTAATGTGATATATTAAAAGGTAATGTAATAGTGGAAATTTTTTTTTTAATTCTCTCACTGAAAAAAATTTCTACTGTATTCGCAAAAATTCAATTATATTCAAAATTTTTTATAAATTCTCGTCAAAATTTTAATTATAATTTTAAATAATAAAATTGTCTGTGAAATTCAATTATTTTAAAAATATTGAATAAAATTCAACGTAAACATTATTTAATTATTATCAGAAATAATAAAAATTTCACAGAAATTCAATTATTTACAAATTTTCTATAAATTTCTTTTGCAATAATTCAATTATTTTCATAAATAGTAAAACTCATTGCAGAATTTCAATTATTTTTAATACAATTTTTATCGAATTGATCGTAAAGTGAAATTATTCATAAAACTCATAAAATTTTTATTAAAATTCGTCAAATAAATTCAATTATTTAAAGATTTGGTGATAAAATAATTTTTGAGAATTTAATTTTAAAAAATATTTAATTATTCAATAAATTTATTTTTTAATTTTAAATAATTGAATTCTCGTAGAAATTCAACATAAAAACTGAATTAAAAATTAATTTTAATTAAAATTTTAAATGTAATTGATTATTATATTAAAAGCATTATAGTACCTATATTTAATTATTAATTATTCAATTATTAAAAATAATGGATTTATAGAAGAATTTTCGTTAAAAACACTAAAGAAATTGAATTTTGGAGAAATTACAAATATTTGCAGAAATTCAATTATTTTCAAAAAGGAAGAAAATTTTTCACAAAAATTCAATTATGTTTAAAAAAATTAGAAATTTTTTTAAATTCTCGTCAAAATTTCAATTATCTTTATAAATAATAAAATTTTTCTAAGAAATTCAATTATTTTAAAAAATTTTAATAGAATTTTTGGCAAAAGTTCAAATATTTTCCTCAATTCGATGATTTTCAATATTTACATTTTTTTTTAATTTTCCCAAAAAATTCAATTATTTAAAAAAATATTTAAGGAAATTCTACGCAAACATTTAATTATTTTTATAAATAATAAAAGTTTCACAGAAATTCAATTATTTACAAATTTTTTTATAAATTTCTTTTCAATATAATTTAATTATTTTCATAAATAATTACAATTTTTCCAGGGATTTAATTATTTTCATTAATAATAAAACTCGTTGCCGAATTTCAATTATTGTTAATTAATGAAAGTTTAAGAAATGTTTGCAGAAATTCAATTATTTTCAAAAAGGAAGAAAATTTTCATAGATAACAAAACTCGTCGCAGAATTTCAATTATTTTTTAATACAATTTGAATAAAATTCCTCGAAAAAAGTAATTATTTTTTTAAATTCGTCAAAAGAATTTCAATTATTTAAAAATTTGGTTGATAAAATTTTTTAAGAGAATTCAATTACCTATTATTCAATAAATTATTTAGTTTTGTATTTAAATAATTTAATTCTTGTAGAGGAATTTATCTAAGAAATTCAATTATTAAAAAAAAAATTAATATAATTCTTGACAAAAGTTCAATTATTTTCAAAAATATAAAAACAACCTTCAAAATTTTTACCTTATTTTCAAAAATTTTCCTCAATTCGATGATTTTCAATTTTTACTATTTTTTTTAAATTTTCCAAAAGAATTCAATTATTTAAAAAAATATTTAAGAAAATTCTACTCAAACATTTCATTATTTTTATAAATAATAAAAATTGCACAGGAAAATTTGTAAATAATTATTTACAATTTTTTTTATAAATTTCTTCTCAATAATTCAATTATTTTTAAAAATAATATTTTTTACAGGGATTTACAGGGAATTTAAATTATTTTTAATACAATTTGAATCGAATTCCTCAAAAATTTTATTTATTTTTTTATTTATTTAAAAAAAAATTTTTTTTTTTAATTTTGTTGATGAATTTTTTTTAGAGAATTCAATTACATATTCAATAACTTATTTAGTTTTTGTATTTAAATAATTGAATTATTGTAAAATTTTTTAATAATAATTGATTTAAAAATGAAATACAGGTAAAATTTTAGATAATAATTAAATATTAAAATCATTACATGAGCGTGAATTATTTTTAATAATACATTTAGGTATTTACTATTTGTAATAATACATTTATTTATTATTTTTAATAATAAATTTATTTATTATTTTCAATAATAAATTTATTTATTACTTTCAATAATATAAGTAAGTAAATGATTTTTATTAACAAATAAAACGTGTTGGAGTGTTTTCAAAATTACCCTTAAGTTTTTGTTGTGCCCTAAAAGATGACATATTGTTCTTCGGCAGCGCTGAAGATCGAAGGGCGCCTCTTGAAAAGCATCACCATAAGTTTCTAATATTTTAAAAATCCCTTCGCTAATTTGCACCAAGATCATCGAGGTCTTTCTTTTAACTAAAATACAGGGTCGTAAATGTCCTTCTAAAAATTATCTAATTACGAAAGAATTTAAAATTTTCGATTTTTTACCTCATCAGCAAAAAAAGGAGAGGGTCTTGTTTGTGATATTTTCTTTCGATATTCAGGAAGTGATGATGGTTTATGTTTAGATGCGCAAAAGCTCACTTATAATAGAAGAGCTGCAAAAGATGAACCCCCCCGATAAAAAGGGCATATGTGATACAAAAGAATTTTGCTCCCGGATGTGCTACAGACACCGTAAAGTGAGAATTTACGAGAGTTGCTTGCGTCAAGGTTAACAGTAAACACGAAACGGTAATGTGGGAAGTCAAATTCTAGGTTTTCGATATGTTTCAAAAAAAAAAAAAAAAAAAAAATTGTAACAAAGCCGTTGAAGAGTTCTTCTCTTCAACCTGTCGAATCCAAGGTTGCATTGGTTCCTGCTTTCTTTGTGATTAATAGCGTGTTGAGGAATTTTTTTTTCTTCTCTTTTGCATTATATAGTGGAAAAAATTTATTTATATTGAGATATAAATTTTGCAAGGAGGAAAAAGTGTTTCTTTTTTATTATAAAAAAAAAAGTGATTTTTCTGAGAAAAGTTTTGCGAGTGTGAATTATCTAGCCTTGAATTTCACTTTCTTTTTAAAATATGAGCATTAATAACGTCAAGGTCATTGCGGGACCACTGAACTTTAAACTGGTTTTATGTAATATCATTCTCGTGACTGTTGGTATAATTGATTTCTCAAAAATTGTTTCGCCCACTTATATGGCTTTATTTTTTTGAAAGTGGGATTTGTTTCTTTTCGAGTTTCTTTTCGAAAGGAGGGAATTTGGAAATGTTTCGTAGCAATATTGCTTTTTATTTAAATTACATTTTTTATTTTATTTATTTATTTTTTTAGAGGAAATGTTGTCAGAGTTACATGATCTACAAATTTTGAAGATTCAAATGAAACGAGACGCTTTTTAATTATTGAAAATTACATCCCACTCAGCACCGAAGGTTTCCTGAAAGTTAAAATTAAATTGAGTGCCACCTTCGGAATCATTAGTGGCAAATCTTATAAAACGTAAAGAATTTCTTTATATTTCTGCTATTTTTTAATACCTTATGCAAACGTCGACTACATATTTCATGGAAGTTGAAAATTTGTTAAAATTATTTTAAATTTTATAAAATTTAAACAATGTTCAGTCAACCTTTGCGTCAAACAATAAAAAACTGTAAACACTTAAAGAATTACTTCAAGTATCATGAATAAAAATTCTGAAGGTGTCAGTCACGTAAATTTCAAAATTTTGTTTTGAATTTCTTAAACTTTCATTAATTAAAAATAATTGAAATTCTGCGACGAGTTTTATTATTTATGAAAATAATTAAATCCCTGTAAAAAATGTTATTATTTTTAAGTAGTTGCAGGTCCACCCGAACGCTATCAAGCAATCAAAATTTTGGTAAAAAGATATATAAAATTTATTTCTTCCAAATTTAATAATTCTAATCATCTAAAAATCACCTGAGTTCTAGTAGGGACTGAGCCCTACTCAATCCTGTAGAATACAGAATTTTATTTCAATTTTTAAGTAGTAGCAGGTTCACCCGAACGCTATCAGACAATCAAAATTTGGTAAAAAGTCAAATAAAATTTATTTCTTGTAAATTTAAAAATTCTAATCATCTGAAAATTACCTGAGTTCTAGTAGGGACTGAGCCCTACTCAATTCTGAAGAATAAAAAATTTTATTTCAATTTTTAAGTAGTAGCAGGTCGAATCAATCGATTTTCATTAAAAAAATACGTAGCCTTTTCTGTTGTATTAGAGAGAAAATATTAGAATTTATATTATTAGTAGATAAATTTTTGTTTAAAAAAAAATGCTGGTAGGTAAATGATCAGTAAAATAAGAACACAGTGTTTTTTCAATGTTTTATAAAATCATTTAATGAGACTCGATAATTTGCAAATAAATAGAAAGAATTTTTGAGGTAAATCAGTGGATGTAGGCGTGGCTGGCGTAGGAGAGGGGGGAGACGAACTTCGTGTGCGCCAATGGAGCGCTGTAGGCGTAGTGCGCAGCTGGTGCACTGTAGGCGATGTGCGCAGGTGCGGCGATCGCTGGCGCATGCGCGTATTGAGCGTAGGCAACTGGAGCGGCAGCTGCGGCAACAACTGGAGCGGCTACGGCGGCTTTCACGGCAATTGCTGCGGGTTCTTTGCGAACAACGGCGTTGAATCCATTGATGGCGTCAGCGGTGTAGTCGACGGTGCGGCGTGTTCCGTCAGATTCAAGGAGCGAATAACTTCCGTGCACTAAATCTCCGTCACGGGTTTCGTGTTGGCTTTTTGAGTCTCCGGTGAGGGCGTCTTGCACGTCGTAGGAGTAACTGTATTGTGGATGAGGGTCAAAATCGGCGTCGATGGTTTTCGCTACCACTGCCTTTGCAATTGGGGCTGCATACGCTAGGGGTGCTGGTGCCGCAGCGTAACCCAAAGGTGCGCCGATGAATCCTGCGCTTGCGGTTGCCACGAGGGCGGCGAGAACTACAAACTAAAATTAAAACAATTTATTATTTTCCACTGTTTTTTTTTAATTTTATGTTAAAAGATATTTTTTAAACCAATCCACACAGTTCTGAAACTTTTCTAAAAGTTGAGATTAACTTGAGTGCTACCTTCGGAATATTTAGTTGCAGAGCTAATGAAAATTGAAGTAATTCTTTAAATTTTTACTGTTTTTCAATATTTGACGCAAAAGTTGACTGAACATTGCATGCAAGTTGAAGAAATTCAAAAACAAATTTAGGAAATTTGAAATTAACTTCACTGCCACCTTCGGAATCTTCAGTTGCAAAGCTCATGAATCTTAAAATAATTTTTTAAATTTCAATGTTTGACGCAAAAGTAGACTAAAAATTGCTTGAAATTAAAGAAATTTAGAATAAATTTAAAAAAATTTCAACTTTCTTGCAATATTTAATCGACGTTTGCTTGAAACATTAAAAAATACCAGAAATTAATGACACTTAAGCAAAGCAAATAAAAGTAAATAAATAATATCAAAATTTATTTTAAATTTCTTAAACTTCTCTGCATTTTTACAAATTTTTAGTCAGATTTTGCGTTAAATGTTGAAAAACACTTGACATCTAGAGAATTTTTTTTACGTTCATGAGCTTTGTTATTAAAGATTCCGAAGGTGGCAGTCAAGTTAATTTCAGATTTCACAAAACTTTCTAAACTGTGTTAAAAATATAATTTTCAAAAATATAGCTAAAAAGGGTTTCGTTTAAGATTTTTTTAATTTAAAAAAAATTTCAAGACTTTTTAATTCGTACAATTGTTTCACAATAGAAAAAAAGGAAAAACATATTTTTAAACAAATTATTACATATATTCAGAAAGAAAAAAGTTTTTTTTAAAATTTTTTTGTTAATTTTTATTAAATTTTTAACTTTGTTTAATTGTTAAATTATGCTAATGCTTCACCCAAAATTATAAAACTTAAAAAAACTACACAATTTATCGATATATTTGTTATCAATTTCGTGTTAATTTTATTATTTATTTTACTGTTTTTTGATTTTATTTTTTATTTTTATTCATTATTATTTTATTTATAAACTATTTTTATTTACAAAATTAATAAAAAATTTTTTATTAATTTCTTGTTAGTTATTAATTTTGTTTCTTTATTATTTTTTTTCATTTATCAGTTTGTTTTTTATTAGTTTCTTTATTTATTAATTTCTTTTTATTTATTAGTTTTCTATTTTTTTATTTCTGTTTATTTATTAATTTTTTTTTGTTTTGGTTTGTTAATTTCTTTTTATTCATAAATTATGTTTATTTATCAATATTTTATTTATTTTTGTTTTGATTAATTTTTTATTTATTACTTTTTGTTTTTTATTAATTTCTGTATTTATTACTTTGTTTATTTATCAATTTTTTTTTTGTTACTTTTTTTTATTTATTAATTTCTTTTGGTTTGGTTAATTTCTTGTTTATTAATTAATTTTTTATTTAATAATTATTTTTATTTACTAATTTCTTTTGTTTCTTTAAGGGAATTAGAACCATTATGACGTCACAATTTTAAAACAAATGCTTTCAACAAATTGTGACGTCTCAATGATTCAAAATCCCTTAATTTTATTTTTTAGGATTTTTTTTTGTTTTGTTAATTTTTGTTTATTAATTAATTTTTTTAAGTTATTTATTAATTTCTTTTGCTTTTTTAATTTTATTTTTAAAATTTTTGTTTGTTTTTTATTTTGTTAATTTTTGTTTATTAATTAATTTATTAAGTTATTTATTAATTTCTTTTGCTTTTTTAATTTTATTTTTTAAGTATTTTTTTGTTTTTTATTTTGTTAATTTTTATTTATTAATTAATTTATTAAGTTATTTATTAATTTCTTTTGCTTTTCTAATTTTATTTTTTAAGTATTTTTTTTTATTTTAGTTTGTTAATTTGTATTTATTAATTTTTTTTTTTTTTGAGTAAAATTGAAACTTTGCACTTTTGAAAAAAAAATTGAACTGTCCACTGTGTAAATGAGTGATGCACGAAATTTTTGGTACACACCTTGAAGGCCATTGTTGAGGTGGTGTAGTTGAATCAGCTTAGTAAGTGATGAGTATGGTTGATCAGGTATCCCTTATATACCTCTGACCATTGCCCACTAACACCCCCTCCACTTTGAAAATCTGCACTTTCAAAGTTAGGGCACAGAAATTGCTCTTGAACTTAGACGGATGCATTCCCCACTCTTTTCCATTTCATATATACAACTGAGCTTATTTCCATGAACAAAGTAATTCGATTAAATTCTCTATATATATATACACTTATATTTACCATATTGAATATTCACAAAGTCTTTGTTTGTGTCCAGTTTGCAAACTGATTTCGATCTAACTTTCTTGATCACCTTCAGGGGGGTGGTCATCATTCTTGGTTCTTTCAATTCTTCCACTATTGCGAACAATAAGTTCGATTTTTTTGCATCTTTGTATCACACTTTTGGAGTAATTAAGGAATTTTTATTTAATTTTTGCTTTTTCTTTATTTTATTTAATTTTCAAAAAAAAAAAAAAATTTTTATTAAATCGAACAAAAATTCCTTTGGTTGACTTTATGAATGAAAGGGCTTTTCCCGTTTATTATAGTAAATAAATAAATCATTAGAAAAAAATAATTGTAAAAAATAATTGTAAAAAAGTAATTGTAAAAAATAATTGTAAAGAAAGTAATTGTACAAAATAATTATAAATAAATAATTGTATGAAAACAATTAAAAAAGGTTCAGTTGTAAAATATCAAAATCAATTATATTAAGGGATTGAACTCACTTTCAAAAATGATCGTGAAAAATGAAATTTCGAAATTAAAAAATTAAATTAACTGACATTGAAAATTTTGACAGTGTTAGAGTAATAAAATTCACTATTATTAATTAGAGTAAAAAATTGATTGAAAAATGTCCACTTAGTGCTAATCTATTTCTGTAATGATAGTTAAATTTATAGTTAATTTTTATATGACAATAATTTTTGTATAATAAAAAAATAGTTATTTTTATACTTCCTATCATTTTTATTTTTGAAAATTTTTTAAATCAATTAATATTTTTAATGACCTTTTTTATTCAAAACTAGATGATATCAAATATAGACCTACTATAAAAAAAAGTTTCTACATATTTGCTTTCGACATTTTTTTTTTTCGTTTAGAAATAAAACCATAAAAGTGTATACTACTTTGTGAAATCAATTATCACTCACTAAAAAAAAATGGTAGAAAACCGTTTCGAATTTTTTATTTTAGTTCTTTAGATGATTTAGAATTTTTAAGTTAAAATTTTCAATTTAAAAAAAGAAGTCGAAAGAATAAGTAATTGAAGAGGATGAAATTCGATTGTCGAAGTAAAATTAACTCTCTGAGTTTCAATTCACGAATTTCTTTAAGGTATCAAAGTGACTATTGTCAATTAGTAGTATTACATTTTTTTTGTTTGAAGTTTTAATAAAGATTTTTTTTACTAGAAAAAATTATTATACGAAATGGTAAACAAATTTTTTTTAGTAAAAAAATACTTCAAAGTAGAATAGAAATATTTTTTTTTTTTGTAGAAAAATTACTACAAATTAATAGAGAAACATTCTGTTAGTATACTAAATTTCTATAGAAATAATTACTACAGACTACAGAATGGAAGAAACAAATTTTTCGTATCAAAAATTAATTGAAATTAATAGAAAATCTATTCTAGTAGAAAAAATTACTATGAATTATCAAAAAAAAAATTTTAGTATCAACAATTACCTACTACAAATTAGTAGAAAAATCATGTTATTAGAAAAAATTTCTACGAATTAGTAGCCAAACTTTTTTATTAACAAAATTACTACAAATTAGTAGAGAAAAATCCAGTTAGTAGAAATAATTACTACAAAGTCGAGTACAAAGTAGATGACAAACTTAATTAGCATAAAAAATTAGTAGGAATTAATAGAAAAATTATTATAGCAGTAACAATTGCTATTAATTAGTAGAAAATTTTTTTTTAGTATCAAAAGATTACTACGAATTAGTAGAAAAATTATTTTATTAGGAAAAATTACTACAAATTAAATTAGAAAATTTTCTTTTATTAGAAAATTTTTTTAGGAATTAGTAGAAAAATTTCTTTAGTTGATTAATTTACTACGAATTAGTAAGAAGAATTTTCAGTAGTAAAAATTAATACGAATTAGTGGAAAAAATTATTATATATTAGTAGAAAAAATACCACAAATTTGTTTTAAAAAATTCTATTAGTAGAAAAATTACTACAAATTAGTAGAAAAATTTCTTTAATTCAAATAACTACTACAAATTAGTATAAAAAAATTCTTTTACTAGAATAAATTATTGGTAATTAGTAGAAAAAAATTCTTTACTAGAAAAAATTTGTACGAATTAGTAGAAAAATTACTATAAATTAGTATAAAAAATTTCTTCAAGTAAAAAAATTACTACTAATTTGTAGAAAAATTTCTTTAGTTGAAATAATTACTACAAGTTAGTACAACAAGATTTTTCTTGTAGAAACAATTATTACTAATTAGTAGAAAAAAATTCTTTGGTAGAAAAACTTTCTACGAATTAGTAGAAAAACACTGAAAAAAAAGTTCTGGTTGGAATTACCAGAAAACCTGTTTTTAACTAGAATTTCGTGTTAAATATGCCCTAACTAGATTTTTTCTGGTTAGGTTAACCAGAATTCTAGTTAATTTAACCAGAATTCTGGTTGTTTTAACTAGAATATCGTGTTAAATATACCCTAACCAGAACTTTTTTTTCAGTGAATCTTTTAGTTGAAAAATTTACTACGAATTAGTAAAAAAAAATTTTAATTCTAATAAATACTACTACTTAGAGAAAAAGTTACTACGAATTAAATTAGAAAATTTTTTTTTAGTAGAAAAATTTTTAGGAATTAGTGGAAAAATTTCTTTATTTGATTAATTTACTACGAATTAGTAAAAAAATTTCAGTATTAAAAATTATTACTACTAAAATTATTACATATTAGTAGAAAAAATACTACAAATTTGTTTCAAAGAATTCTATTAGTAGAAAAATTACTACAAATTAATAGAAAAATTTCTTTATTTGAAATAATTACTACAAATTAGTATAAAGAAATTCTTTAGTAGAAAAAATTTCTACGAATTAGTAGAAAATTTCTTTAGTTGAGCAATTTACTAAAAATTAGTAACAAATTTTTTTAATTGTAAAAAAAACTACGAATTAGTAGAAAAATTACTATAAACTAGTAAAAAAAATTAGTACGAATTTGTAGAAAAATTTCTTTAGTTGAAATAATTACTACTAGGTAGAACAAAAAAATTTTTCTAGTAGAAGCAATTATTACTAATTAGTAGAAAAAAAATCTTTAGTAGAAAAAATTTCTACGAATTAGTAGAAAAATTTACTACGAATTGGAGAAAATTTTTTAATTGTAATAAATGCTACGAATTAGTAGAAAAATTATTTTAGTATAAAAAATGACTATGAATTAGTAGAAAAATTACTATAAATTTGTTCAAAAAAAATTCTTTTAGTAGAAAAATTACTATCAATTAGTATTAAAAAATTTTTTTATTAGAAAAAATTTCTAGGGAATAGTAGAAAAATAAATTAAATTAAATTAAATTAAATTTTGTAGTGAGAATTATTGCTAATTACTACAAAAATATTGTTTAGTTGAAAAAATTACTACAAATTAGTAGGAATTGTGACTAATTGAAATTAGTGGACAGCGTTTCTTTTAAAATTTGAATTATTAAAAATTGAGCCACCAACTTACAATAATAATAATATTTTTAGTAATTTTTTCTTTACTGAAACAGTAGTAGAAAAATAGTAAAAATTACTAAACAAAATATAGTAATATTTACTTAAAAAGAATTGAATATTCTTACTCAGACAAATTAGTAAAATTTCTTCAGTGAAATTAGTAATTTCACTATAATTCTGAATTAAAGTGAATTTACTAATTTGAAAAAAATTTTAAATTTAAATAATAAGTTAGAACTGAAAATTAGAAATTAAAAAACGCAACGAAATAAAAAATAATAGTGAATAAATACATATATATGTATGGAAAAACGAATCGAAATAAAAGTAAAAAAAAAAAATTCGTTCAATTTTGCCCACAGTGATTGCATCTTCAATGCAGCAAGTCATCCTTCGAGCCCTTTTACTTATAAACAAAAAACATTCGTTATCGCGCTTTGGCATTGCTTCTTTTTAGTTGAAAAACGATGGATTTCGAGTTACATCATCTAAGAGTTTATCGCATTATGAGATCACGAAAAAATAAGTGGAACACTTTCGTAAATTAGGTGGGTCTGAAGGTATGGGATTCGATCCGCGGTGCTCTTTCTCTTCTATACATTATATTATTCAATATCTCTGTCTACATTCATGCGTATATATCTACATGAGTCGCGACAAGACTCGAACCGTCAATCACCTGCTTTTTGATCGACTTTCCATAATCTTAATTTATTCACATATGATATTTTTTAAACACATGGTTCTTAAATTCTCTCCGCATATCAAGATTAAAGAAAACAAAAGACTCTCCTCTTCGAGATATTTATCATTCTCTTCCTTTTTGGCGATCGAAAATTGTTTTTTTTTAATTTAAAAAGAAATTTTAATTAAGACAATATTATAATTATTAATAAGTGGGATCAAAAAGTACAAATAAGAAAAACAACTTCGATTTTTTTATTAAAAAAAATAATTTAGACATCATATTAATTTAATTTTTATTTGAAATAATTTTTCCTTCCATTATAATATTTATAAAGGAATTTTTTTCGATTTTTAGAAGATGATGGAAAAAAGAAAAACAATTATCAATTTTTTCATCATCTTCCAAAAATCGAAAAAAATTTCTTTATAAATTTAATTTTTAATAAAATTGTCCATAAGAGAAATAATAAAAGAAAATTGTCTAATTAAATTAAAATAAATTAATTTTAATCAAAAAAAAAAAAAATTCTTCTTTTGAAAGAAATAAAAATTTGTTGAATTTTTAAGAAATTATATTGGAGGAAAATTTTTTTTCATGATTCAATGTGCATTTTCTCAGCTCTTGTATATTCGTCAGGTGTAATACATAATGACAAGATAAAGAAATAAATTATACATGAACTGAACAAAAAAAAGAA